CGCTAGACCACCAGGGAAGGTAAGAAGGAAAAAAGGGGGTATACATACACACCACTCAGACACATTCAAACTCCCCTACAAACTCCATACTTTGCAGTCACCACACAGACTCTCCCCATACAGCTCTCCTCCTCTTCGCACACAACAATCAGCCACCATACACACACACTCACACACACAATGTAATGTAAGTGCTGAGTACACCTGTTACGGCGGTATAAAAAAACAAAACTATACATACACTGTATACCTACTGCACTTACAGTACCCCCCTCTACTGTAATGTAACCTGTAAAGTGCTGAGTACACCTGTTGGTGCCAGGGGCGTACCTAGAGCATTTGGCACCCAGGGTGGATCATGTGTAATGTAAATAAAAACACCCACAGTATTTAACCCCTTAAGACCGGAGGGCGTACTATTACGCCCTATTTTAAGCGGCTCTAAACGCCGCCGGGCGTAATAATACGCCCAACGGTCTTTTCCTACTTACCCGGTCGCCGGCGATCCCACGCCGGCGATCGCGGTTCGGGGGACTCCCAGGGAGCCCCCCGCGGCACCTCCGTCCTCCTGGAAGCCCCCCGGCCATGTGAGAGTGGGGTCCTGGCGAGGACCCCACAATCACATGGCCGGGGGTAGCTGGCTGCAGCATTGCCAGCAGGGGGACTGCCTGTAATGACAGGTGGTCCCCCTGCTGGCTGAAAATAAAATAAAATAAATAGTGTAAAAAAAATAATATATACTTAGATCATATATATATATATATATATATATATATATATATAATATATATATATATGATCTAAATATATATATATATACACATATACATACACACACGTACACCGTCTAGGTGTATTTTACTATTAATATATATATAATTATATATATTAATATCAAATTACACGTAGACTGATACTGATTAAATATATATATAATTATTGTTATATATATATATATATATTTATATTTAATATAAAAAATTTAAATGTAAATACGTTAAAAAATAAAATTAAAAAATATAATTAAAAAATATATAGATGTGTTATTTCGTTCTAACTGTATTGTGAAATTAATATATATATATATATATATATCAAAATACATGTAGAACGAAATAATATATATATCTATATACATAAATATATACGTATATATCACTATATATATATACCTATATATAAATAAAAATATTTTAAAAAATTCTATAGATATATACATATATATACACATACGTATATATATAAACATATATTAATTCTACATATATATTTATGTAATATTTTTACATAATTAGGTATCTTAATTAATTACAATTAGCGGGACCTGCCTGACAACCCATGCCGAAAGTAAAGGGAATTTAATTTGCTAGCACTATATTTAACCCTATAACTTTCCAAGACACCATAAAACCTGTACATGGGGGGTACTGTTCTACTCGGGAGACTTCGCTGAACACAAATATTAGTGTTTCAAAACAGTAAAATGTATTACAACGATGATATCGCCAGTAAAAGTGACGTTTTAGCATTTTTCACGCACAAACAGCACTTACACGGACGATATTATTGCTGTGATACTTTACTGTTTTGAAACACAAATATTTGTGTTCAGCTGTCTCCCGAGTACAAAGTACTCTCATATTACAGGTTTTGGTGCAAAAGTTACAGCGTCAAATATAAGGCTTTGCCATTTTTTTCACATTAAAATTCGCCAGATTTCTGTTGCCTTTCTATGGTAGCCCAAGAATGAAAATATGATGGCATACCATTTGCAATAGTAGACAACCCAAGGTATTGCAAATGGGGTATGTCCAGTCTTTTTTAGGAGCCACTTAGTCACAAACACTGGCCAAAAGTGGCGTTTTTTGCATTTTTCACGCACAAACAAATACTAACGCTAACTTTGGCCAGTGTTTGTGACCAAATGGCTACTAAAAAAAGACTGGACATACCCCATTTGCAATACATTGGGTTGTCTACTATTGCAAATGGTATGCCATTATGGGTGTAAATTTCATTCCCGGGCTACTATACAGTCTCAAAGGCAACGTAACCAATCTGGCGAATTTCAATTTCAAATGTAACGTGCTATATTTGACCCTGTAACTTCCCAAAACGCCATAAAACCTGTACATATTGGGTACTGTCTTACACGTGAGACTTTACTGAATACAAATATGTGTATTATATTGCAGTAAAAGCAAACAGTATTATGACATTGACCGTTAAAATGTCATGTAGAACTAAAAAATATTTTCTCTCATTTTTTTCATATTAAATTGTTTCATAGCTAAATATTTATTTGATATTAAATGAAAGCCCTGTTTCCCCTGAATAAAATGATATATAATAAGGGTGGGTGCATTTACTATGAAAGAGGTGAATTACGGTTGGACAGACATGTAGCGCAAATGCCAGGTTTTGTTTACATTTTGTTTTGTTCACAACGTGTACATTTGGCTCCGTCCTTAAGGGGTTAAAAAATGCTTTTATTTAAAAAAAAATTGCACAAATATGTACATTTTGAAAAAACCCTGTCCTGTCACCTTCTACAAAACCCCTCTCCTGCCACCTTCCTACAGAACGCATGTCCTGCCCCAGTTATACAAAACCCCTGCACCCACTTCCACGAATCCTCTGCTCAGCCCCCTTATACAAAATCCCCGTCCCCCTTCTACAAATCCCTGCACCACCTTCCCAAAAAAAACTGCCTCTCCCTTTAAAGCCCCTGCTCAGTGCCTTAAAATATAATTAATCTTTTTACACAATATTAGCAACAGTCTTCAGAGTCCAGTCCCAGTCACTCGCACACAGTCACACAAACTGTTACAGACAGTCACAAATACAATTACAGGCAGACAGTCACACACACACACACACACACTTACATACAGGTAGTTACACAGATTCACAGGCAGATAGTCTCATACACACACACACACTCACAGAGATTCACAGGTAGACAGTCGCACATACACACACACAGTTACACAGTTACAGGCAGACAGTTGCACACACACACAGACCCTGCGTGTGTGAGCTGTGTGGCTGCAATGGCAACCTGCTCCTGCCGCACAACTCACACATCCTAAGGCCGCTCTGGACATGGCACCCCCCTAGTGAGTGGCACCTGGGGTAGACCGCCCCCCTTAGTATGCCACTGAATAGTGCTATATAAATAAAATATACACACACTCTATACCTACTGCACTTACTGTACCTCCCTCTACTGTAATGTAACCTGTAAAGCACTGAGTACACCTGTTAGCACTATATAAATAAAATATACATACACTGTATACCTACTGCACTTACTGTACCTCCCTCTACTGTAATGTAACCTGTAAGTACACCTGTTAGCGCTATATAAATAAAATATACATACACTGTATATCTACTGCACTTACTGTACCTCCCTCTACTGTAATGTAACCTGTAAAGTGCTGAGTACACCTGTTAGCACTATATAAATAAAAATATACATACACTGTATATCTACTGCACTTACTGTACCTCCCTCTACTGTAATGTAACCTGTAAAGTGCTAAGTACACCTGTTAGTGCTATATAAACAAAATATACACAATGAATACCTAGTGCATTTACTGTACCTCCCTCTACTGTAATGTATCCTGTGCAGTGCTGAGTACACCTGTTAACTCTATATAAATAAAATATACATACACTGTATACCTACTGCTCTTACTGTACCTCCCTCTACTGTAATGTAACCTGTAAAGTGCTGAGTACACCTGTTAGCGCTATATAAATATAATATACATACACTGTATACCTACTGCACTTACTGTACCTCCCTCTACTGTAATGTAACCTGTAAGTACACCTGTTAGCACTATATAAATAAAATATACATACACTGTATATCTACTGCACTTACTGTACCTCCCTCTACTGTAATGTAACCTGTAAAGTGCTGAGTACACCAGTTAGCACTATATAAATAAAATATACATACACTGTATACCTACTGCACTTACTGTACCTCCCTCTACTGTAATGTAACCTGCAAAGTGCTGAGTACACCTGTTAGTGCTATATAAATAAAATATACATACACTGTATACCTACTGCACTTACTGTACCTCCCTCTACTGTAATGTAACCTGTAAAGTGCGGAGTACACCTGTTAGCACTATATAAATAAAATATACATACACTGTATACCTACTGCACTTACTGTACCTCCCTCTACTGTAATGTAACCTGTAAAGTGCTGAGAACTCTTATAAATGGTAAATAATTACATCTGAACCATCCACTTTTGATTTTAACATAAAATACTTTTGAATGAAAACACTTACCACAACACTTGTTATTAATGGAAAATAATATATAGGTATATTTTATTCCCTCCCTTCTCCTCCCCCAAGTGCCTCTTAAAAGGTAGGCAGACAATGTAGTAGAGCAGCAGGAAATGCTAGCAGAATGCTTGGTTGTATAGGGAGAGGTATTAGCAGTAGAAAGAGGGAAGTGCTCATGCCATTGTACAGAACACTGGTGAGACCTCACTTGGAGTATTGTACACAGTACTGGAGACCGTATCTTCAGAAGGATATTGATACCTTAGAGAGGGTTCAGAGAAGGGCTACTAAACTGGTTCATGGATTGCGGGATAAAACTTACCAGGAAAGGTTAAAGGATCTTAACATGTATAGCTTGGAGGAAAGACGAGACAGGGGGGATATGATAGAAACATTTAAATATATAAAGGGAATCAACACAGTAAAGGAGGAGACTATATTTAAAAGAAGAAAAACTACCACAACAAGAGGACATAGTCTTAAATTAGAGGGACAAAGGTTTAAAAATAATATCAGGAAGTATTACTTTACTGAGAGGGTAGTGGATGCATGGAATAGCCTTCCAGCTGAAGTGGTAGAGGTTAACACAGTAAAGGAGTTTAAGCATGCGTGGGATAGGCATAAGGCTATCCTAACTATAAGATAAGGCCAGGGACTAATGAAAGTATTTAGAAAATTGGGCAGACTAGATGGGCCGAATGGTTCTTATCTGCCGTCACATTCTATGTTTCTGTGTTTCCTTGTATTTTGTAGAGCAGTCATTTTGCTTTAAGACATTGTTTTCATTCAACAACCCATAATATAAACAATATAACCATCTGTCTACTTTGTACAATATAATTACAAATGTTTAAATTAACGTTGATTGATCCTGCTACCGCTGGTAAAAGCAGTCAGTTGCAGATTATTATTTTTCCTGTAATAAACCTGAATATCCGTCTACCACATTAAATTTTCTACAGTTTGCAGAGTTTGAATTAATAAATTAAAAAATATATATTTATTTTATTTCTTCTCCTTAAAAGGTAACCAACTGAAATGATACTGTCGCCTTGGCAACACAACATCATTAGACAGGTCTTTCTGTTCCGCCTCGGAGTCTACTAGTTGGTACCCAAGCAGGTTCATTGCTCCTTTGCATACATCCTGGATCTTCTTGACTTTACTGAAGGGCAGAGAGGTCCTCCATGCTTGAGATACATTCATAGCATCCCGGGATGTAATTTTAAAGGCTTGACTTTTCTTCGCTGGACCTTGACCGTGAGTGATATTATAGATCCAGCTCTCAAGCTTGCTGATCCATTTCAGATTTGCAAATTTATACATCTCTGTGATCTCCCTCAAGGGGTCACGAACCACATCCTCGTAGCGCACTAACCTATACCGATCTTTAAGGAATTTAGGGGCCTTGAACTTGGCTGTTTCATACATCTGGACATGACTGCGGCAGATTTCCTGCATTACTTCATACTTGGTGTCATCCGTTTTTGTGCCGCTGGTGTTGAGGACAATGCCATTATCTCTGGCTAAAGCCTTTGCCGATTGCTCACGAGATCTGACCACCGCTCGGGGGTCTCTAACTAAATGGATGATTTTTAAATTTAAAGAAGGGTCCATCAGAAGGGGATACAGCACTTTCAGATCAAAGACACGGACCTCTTTAATCACAATATGGCTGTACATGTTGCAAGCTTGCTCAACTTTACTGAAAGGATAGTGTCCGCATTGTGATTTGCAGGACATTTCACTTGTGATTCCATCATGTATGTACACGTCACATGCGGGAGAAGAACACAAAGCTCGGCTTACTGCCCACTGAAATAGGTACGAGACGTTCCTCTCCTTTGGCATGTAGGCATCAAACACAGACATGTCACACAAGAAGACTGATCGGACCAAGTCCCTGACGGCCATGTGGAGAACATGGGCGCTATTTTGAAACATGGACACCCATACGTGCCAAGCTGGCTCCATCAAGTAGAAGACGTTGGGATGCTGGCTGAAAAGCTGACCAACAAATGAAGATCCAGACCTCCAGGAGGACAGAATGAGGATGTGGACCTTTTCAGGATTCTCATCTGTGTTTTGTAGAAAGACATTGTGTCTGGGGTACAGTAGGAGCAAGAATACGGTTTGAAACACCAGGAAAATTACCACTACAGGAACATTAATTCGAATCCTGACCATGACGGCCGTCACTCCAAGTCCCTGAGAAGGCAAGAGAAATATAATAGGTCAATTTCTCTGAAAACAGCAAGTTAAAAAATAATGCATGTTACAGATGGCATACCGTAGAATTCAAGTTAAAAGGGAACTATCACGTTTGTTAAATATAGGGGTTAAGCAAACCTAATCATAGAAAAACTGTTATTTGTGACACGTGACAAGTATAATATTAAATGTAGAATTCCACACTTATTTTACCTGCAACTTGGTGCTTCTATCTTAGCTTCCTGTCAATCACTGTTATAAGCTCTGTGCTTTGCACCTGGCAGTCCGCATAGAGAAACCAAACCGAAACAGGAGAAACTACATAATGCTTCTATTTCTGTTCTTCAGTGCGTGCCCTGGCTTTGCCTGGACGTAACTAGATTGTGATATCAATTACTATACCTTTTAAAGGGACACTCCACTACCCAAATAAAAATCATTGTTTAGTAGATATACCCCTAATGAAATATGCATGCATTTAAATTTCTTTTGTCTGCAACCTTTGCAAGCCCTCCCCTTCTAACCCCGCCCAGACTTTCTGTGGCTGTCCAATCACAGACTCCCAATGCAGCTCAATGAGACCTTTTTTAAATTTCAATCTGAACTTTATCTAAAATGAAAAAGAGAAAACACAGTCTTCACACATAAAGCTTTTCAGCAAGTTAACCTGCTGTAGGTGTTTGGAGTATCCCTTGAAGCTACATCTAAAAGAACCAAACAAACTGGCCATCGGGTCCATTCCCTAAACAGCACACTTTAGTGAGGTTTATGTGCCGTAAGGTGAGCAGTCTCTATTCGGTGGGAAACACCGAGCATCTTAAAGGGTTATTCAAGATAAAGAATAGCCGGTCTGGACACATTGCCAAGTCAGTGATGCTTCCAATTTGGCTAATTCTTCTTCAATTTGAAATTCACTTTGAGTTCTTACATTGGTAAATAACCCTGCTAGACACCAATAAAAGAGGGTGGTGACACGTAGAGAAAGGTGGCTGCAGAAAAGTTGCCAATATGATTTGGAAAACAAAAGAAAATGTAAATGAAGTAGTGTGAAGGAACACATTGTACATGTTCTCATGGAGATAAACAAAGACAATGAATGAAGTTAAAAGATAACTTTAGGGTCCTGACCCTATAGTGTTAAAACCACCATCTAGCCTCTGCTGGCCCCGACTGCCTCCCTAAATATAGTAACATCTTACTTTTGTTCAAGTCTGCAGCTGCTGGCTCTGCCCCTGATCTGCCTGCTTGGCTGACATCATCAGAAGTAATTCTCTGAGCCAATCACAATGCTTTCACATAGGATTATTTGAACTTGTCCAGGAGGCAGAGCCAACAAAAGTCAAACACAGCCCTGGCCAATCGTCATCTCCTCATAAAGTTGAATTGAATCAATGCATCTCTATGAGGAAAGTTCAATGTCTCCATGCAGAGGGTGGAAACACTGAATGTCAGTCGCACTGTGCAACACTGCCCCAGGAAGCCACTCTAGTAGCCATCTGAGGAGTGGCCAGTGGAGGTATCCCTAGGCTGTAATATAAACACTGCATTGTCTCTGAAAAAATAGTGTTTACTGCAAAAATCTGAAGGGATTGTACTCCCCAGAACAAATACAATAAGCTGTAGTTCTTCTGGTGACTCTAGTGTCCCTTTAATGCAGATAATTAATGTAAATTAATACAGAAAATGTGATATAATGTTCCATTCTACGTCCTTTGGAATGTTTAGGTTTTTAACCCCTTTGTGACCAGACAGTTTTTCTTACCGTTTGGGACCAGGGCTGTTTTTACATTTCTGCGGTGTTTGTGTTTAGCTGTAATTTTCCTCTTACTCATTTACTGTACCCACATATATTATAAACTGTTTTACTCGCCATTAAATGGTCTTTCTAAAGATACCATTTTCATCATATCATATATAATTTACTATAAAAAAATTTAAAATATGATGAAAAAAGTAAAAAAAACACACTTTTTCGAACTTTGACCCCCAAAATCTGTTGTGCATCTGCAACCGCCAAAAACACCCATGCTAAATAGTTTCTAAATTTGTCTTGAGTTTAGAAATACCCAATGTTAACATGTTCTTAGCTTTTTATGCAAAGTTATAGGGCAATAAGTACAAGTAGCACTTGGCTATTTCCAAACCATTTTTTTTCAAAATTAACAAAAGTTACATTATAACACTATCTGTCAAGTATCCCTGAATAACCCTTCAAATGTATATATTTTTTAAAAGAAGACAATCTAAGGTATTAAACTTGGGGTATATTCTTTTCATGCAACCATTTTACCACCAATCTATGCCAAATTTAATTTTTTATTTTTTTTAAAAAATTGGTGATTTTTTTTTGACACACATAGCAATTTAAGAATACATGTACTGAGAACTTTAAGGATTACTGCCAAAGAATATCCCAATATGTGTTCAGTAACATCTCCAGAGTACAGTGATACCACCCATGTATAGGCGTGTTGGGTTCTCTTGGGGCTAAAAGACCTTATTTGGAGGGTGCGCATTCCAGTTTTCCAACTTTGAATTTTCACAGCTGGTCATCACGCACCCATGTCCTATTTGGGACATTTTTGAAGCTGGCCAATGTAATTTATCCCCATCAAACCATATATTTTTGAAAAGTAGACACCCTAGGGTATTTCAAATGATGTTATTTTTTTTTTGTGTAATATTTTTTGAGTTTGGAATAATAGTAACAGATGCAAATCATTGTACAGTTGCAGAATATCAGTAAACATTTTTCGCCTTATATACCTTGAGGAAGTGCTTCACACTTCATCTAACACTAGAGATCCCCAACAGATTGCTGGAGAGACAAATTACCTTGTCTTAATGTCATAACATTTTAACGTATTAACCTGCAGCTGCACCAGTGCTATTAGACAACTAACCTAGCCTTGCGACTAGGTAGCACCATTGTGCTGATAGGGGGGGAGTGAGAGGCGGGGAAGGTGGGGTAGAGGGAAAAGGTCGGTTTGGATCGTCAGGAAGTGTTTCCGAATATCAGCTTGTAGTAGGACTACATTTATGTGTGACATTTTTGTCGCCATGTTCCCCATGTTTGCCACGCTGTTTGCCAGACTTTGTTTGCTGACCTCAAACGCCTAGCTTCTATCTCATACACTTGGGTAGTGTCTATCATATCTAGGCATCGTTGAATGCTAGGTGAGTGTGCGCTCAGCCAGATCCTGCTTATAGCCATCAGTGCTGTGATAATAATGTGGTATGTTAGGTATGTGTCAGCCTTTGAAAGCTTGTGTGGCAGGGCTAGCAGTAAATACGTTTCTGGAGAGTGTGGCAAGGTATTGCCAGTGGATTTAGTTATAATATCTGAAACGCTTTACCAAAAGGGCTTAATTGCTGGGCAGGTCCACCAAATATGGAGCATTGACCCCGGCTCCTTCAAACATCTCCAGCATGACCCCGACTTATTTGGGTCAATTTTGCGCAGCCTAGTAGGTACCATGTACCAGCGATATAGCACTTTCCTGCTAATCTCAATATGGGATGTGTTTAGCGTGAGGTTTTTGTGTGCCATCAGTATTTTTGACCATACATCATTGGGTATAGTCAGGTTTAGATCTTTTTCCCATGCCTTCATGAAACTTAGTTTCTGTGGTTGATCTTGTTTCTTGGTCAGTTTATACAGGAGTGACAGCATTTTCTGTGGCGGTTTTGGGGCCATACATACTTTTTCTATCTCTGTCAATGTCGGTACTTGCGTTTGTGCAGCATCTAGACCTATATTTTTTCTCGCCCATGACTGCAATTGTAAGTATGAGAAGTAAGCTTTGGGAGGAAGGTTATACTGTCTGGTTAGAGAACTAAAGTCCAGTAGGCGACTGTAACGGATCGCCTGGCACCCCAACTGGGTACCTCCGTTAAAGGATGCTCCTAGCGCTTCCTGAGGACTCCAAGCACTGCAGCAGACACCACAACCACCGAACCGGAGAAGCATATGAATCCTCTCATGCATAAGAATGCTGTAGACAGTTGAATAGGAACCATACGAATAGGTTTACTCTCCTAGCAGTCAAACTGGAACAGCATACAATAAATCCTTCCCCCAATAATGAGACGACACTTCACTTTGAGGGTTAAAACAGGAACTCTCTGTAATGGCCACACACTGGCTTTTATGCAAGTCCCCATGCAAGGGGACATCCCACAGGGTGGGACACAGTACAACCAATCGTTACAGGGGAACCATAAAACACACCCACATTTACATCACAATTCCTCCTCTCTGTCCAGGAGATAACTGTGAAGTAATACAATTATCTCCCAGGACAGAGGCAAGACTCCATTAACCACATGGCAGTAACAATACAATAAAAGACATAAAATTACATACAGTTACATTTATTCCATAAAACATAGACATTCTACATATCCCCAGATAGCTTAGATCTGAGTGCACATTACTACCGAATGGCGCTCAGACCACATACATACAGTTCAATCACCATGGAGCCAGTGTCTTTCATACAGTCTTTCAATATACGGCTGGGCTCCATGGCATAGCTATCTGGGGTAGCATGGCTTTAACAGTCTACAGAAAGGCATGAATACGCTTTGCAGGGAAAATAAAAGGTTTTAACTGCCGGGCCATAGTCTAAAGGGAGCAGGCGAGCAACCAGGCTCCGACAGTGGCGAGGCTGGTTTCGCCACATTTCTCCCCTTTACCATCCAGACTAACAGGGTATCTGACCTCCTGTCGGTCAGTGCCCTGGTTAGTCCAGCAACCCACCCACGAAGCGAAAACAGCAGTACCTCCCACCCACAATAAATGTTTACCCCACCTGGATAAAGTAGCAGCTTGTCCAGGTTCCTCACCACGGCTGTGCGGGGAGCTGGTAGACTGCCTTGGTGGGTTGCTGAGTGGGCGGAGACCAGCGGTACTCTGCCCTGATGCCAGCGCTACCACTGAAGTAGCCTGGTTGTGGGAGGGGGAGACCGACCGTCTCCCCTCTGGGTACACAGCTCTGGGGCTGCGGGACAGGACTGACCGTCCCTACCTCTTGTGCTGCAAGTGCAAAGACTACGGTCCCATCTGCACTGTTGGGGGGTGTAACATCTCCCCTTGGTGGGTTAGGCTGCCGCTGGAGAGAGGGTGTGACAAGCTCCTCTCTCTGAACTGTAACCTGCCGCTGGGGAGAGGGGGTAGCAGGCTCCTCTCCGTGACACTCTCTCTGCTGGTGGTGAGGGGGACCAGCTGTCTCCCCTTTCAATATTTTGTCCTGCTGCTGGGGTGCAAGACTGACGGTCTCTGCTCCCTGCAGGACACTCTGCCGCTGGGGAGGAAGGACGACACCTTCAGCTCCCTGGGATACAATCTGCCGCTGGGGAGGAAGGATGACACCTTCAGCTCCCTGGGACTCACTTGACCGCTGGGGAGAGGGACCAACTGTCTCCTCTCCTAAGAACACACACTGCCGCTGGGGAGGAAGGACTGCACCTTCAGCTCCCTGGGATACACACTGCCGCTGGGGAGGAAGGACTGCACCTTCAGCTCCCTGGGATACACACTGCCGCTGGGGAGGAAGGACTGCACCTTCAGCTCCCTGGGATACACACTGCCGCTGGGGAGGAAGGACTGCACCTTCAGCTCCCTGGGATACACACTGCCGCTGGGGAGGAAGGACTGCACCTTCAGCTCCCTGGGACTTACTCTGCCGCTGGGGAGGAAGGACTGCACCTTCAGCTCCCTTTTATTCCATTTATACATTTATTCCATAAAACATAGACATTCTACATATCCCCAGATAGCTTAGATCTGAGTGCACATTACTACCGAATGGCGCTCAGATCACATAAATACAGTTCAATCACCATGGAGCCAAAGTCTTTCATACAGTCTTTCAATATACGGCTGGGCTCCATGGCATAGCTATCTGGGGTAGCATGGCTTTAACAGTCTACAGAAAGGCATGAATACGCTTTGCAGGGAAAATAAAAGGTTTTAACTGCCGGGCCATAGTCTAAAGGGAGCAGGCGAGCAACCAGGCTCCGACAGTGGCGAGGCTGGTTTCGCCACAGCGACCATCCCTCATTAAGTGAGATAGACGTGTGGACGTGTGGCTCCATGTTTACACCATAGGCCATGGTCAAACCCCGGAATGAGGAGTTGGAACGCTGGAATTTATAGTGCTGGGGATATGTATGAGGTGGGATAGTGTTTCTTGGCGTATTTGTCCCATACGAGGAATGTTGCCCCCGTAGTTGGGCATATATCCATGTATTTCGGTCTCAGATGCCTAGGTATCCAAGCTAGGATGGACATCGAGAGTCCGCCTGTGTTTGCAGTTTCCATGTGACTCCACTTTGGCGGAGTTGTGTGATAGAGGGTGGATATGAGTGTGCTCATCATGGCCGCCGTGTAATAGTTTGCGATATCAGGAGCCCCCATTCCCCCCTCCTTGAAGGGCCTATACATGGTGTCGGCCGCCGTTCTAGGTCGTTTTCCGTCCCATATGAATTGATTTAAGGAATGTTGGGCATCTTTAAAAACTGGCGTGGTAGCTGTATTTGGAGTGTTCTGAATAGGTACTGTAGTCTTGGTAGTACCATCATTTTTACTGCCGCTATTCTGCCTGGCCATGAGATGTATTTCCCTTTCCAGCTGTGTAGTTGTTGTTTAATTGCGCTAAGTAGTTTTAAATAATTCGCTTTATACAGCTTTTGTGTCTTGGGTGTGAGGTATATACCTAGGAAGGGTAAATGGTCGGTTCGCCAATCGTATGTGTGTGTGCTTTGTAGGTGGGTAAGTTGTGCTTTAGGGATGTTGAGGCCCATAGCCTGTGTCTTAGTAATATTGAGCTTGTAATATGAGCAGTTGCTAAAGTTAGTCAGTATAGTTCGAAGCTGCGGCAGAGAGATGTCAGGTTTAGACAATGTGAGCATTACATCATCGGCAAATAGGGTAATCTTGTGTGTTTCTCCCCCTATTTGTATTCCATGGACATCGTGTGAATCCCTAATGTGTTGGGCCAGGGGTTCTAGTGCTAGTATGTATAGTAAGGGTGAGAGTGGGCAGCCCTGTCTGGACCCATTTGAGATGTGGAAAGGTTTGGAGGTAAACCCGCCATTGGCTATTTTTGCCGTCGGATTGTCGTATAGTGCCGAGACTAGTGTGATGAAACACCCGGGAAAGGCGAATCTCCACAGCACAGCCTCCAGGTATCCCCAGTGTAGCCTTCTCAGCATCCAGTGACAGTGCCACACTGGGAGCCCAGGTTTTCTGGATCCTGTGTAAAATGTTGATCAGTTTCCTGGTCCCATCCGAGCCTTGTCTGCCTCGGACAAACCCCACTTGGTCATCTCGAATCAGTGTTGGTAATATGTTTCCCAGCCTGTTTGCGTAAATTTTCGCTAATATTTTTAAATCAGTATTTAGGAGCGATATAGGGCGCAGATTCTGGCATTTATTTGGGGGTTTCCCTGGTTTTGGCAGTGTAGTTATGTGGGCCAACAGCATTTCGCTTGGTATAGTGCCTGTAGTGAGAATATTATTGTATAGTTTTTCTAGTTTGGGGGTGAGAATGTGAGAGAAAATCTTGTAGTATAAGTTCGTAAAGCCATCTGGGCCTGGTGACTTCCCTTTTGGGAGGGCTTTGATTGTGCGTGCAATTTCGTTTTGGGTAATGGGTTCTTCTAGTAGAGTCTGATCTGCCTGCGGTAGTTGTTGTAGTTGCACTTCTGTTAGAAACGCGTCTATCTCCATTAGGAGTGGTTGGTGTGTATGCTGATCCCTTTTTAAGTTATATAGCGTATCATAGTAATCCACCAGCGTGTCGTTTATATCATGTGGGCTATACATTTTATTGCCCATGGCGTTCAAGAGAAATGGAATTCTTGCGTTTTGCCTTTTCTGCCGCAGGAGTGCTGCCAATGCTTTCCCTGCCTTGTTTCCCTGTGTGTATGTTTTGAGTTTCATCCTATGTGACATGATAGCTGTGGTACGCAGGTGTATGTCGTTCTATTTCCCTTGAAGCTGAGCTATGCGCTGCTGTGCGGAGGGGGATGGGTGCATGATGTGTGCCGACGTTTCGTCCCTAAGTGATCTCAAAAGGTCTATATACTCTTTCTTTGCTTGCCTATTCAGGTGAGATGCTTGGCTAATCAAGAGACCCCGTATGACTGCCTTATGTGTTTGCCATGTTGTGGCCAATGAGACATCGGGTGTTTCGTTTAAGGCAAAGAACGAAAGTATCTCTTCGTTAAGTTTGGTTTTAAATTCTGGGTTATGTAAGAGAGTGTCATTTAGGCGCCAAAGTGTCGCCCCTTTGGTCTGGAATTTGTCCCTTAGAGTGAGTTGTACTGGGGCATGATCTGACCAGACTATGTTTCCTATCTCACTATGCGTTGCCATTGGTAACATGTCGCCCGAAATTAGTATGAAGTCAATTCTGGTGTATGTTTTATGTACAGATGAGTAAAATGTAAATTCCCGTTCGTTCGGATGCTGTGTCCTCCAAATGTCATAGAGACCGTGCTCGGAGATGAGCCTTGTGAGTGCTGTAGCCTGTTTGCCCAGTGTTTTGCACCTAGGTGATGCGTCCGAGAGTGTAGTGTCTAATCGGGGTTGCAAGATGTGATTTAAGTCCCCGCATATGATTGTGGATGATTGGTGCGTGTTGGGGAGTTTTTTGAGACGTAGAAGTTCGAATGCTATTGAGGTGTGTATGAAAAACGAGACGCCTCTTGATTTAGATGAGTACGTCGAGTGATATTGTGTGGGGTATTCTCTGTCTGCAAATCTGGGCACTCTGTTGTGTGCAAAGTGAGTCTCTTGGACGCACAGGATATCTGCCTTAGCGTGCTTCGCGTCCTCAATAAAGAGTCTCCTTTTGTGTGGAGTGTTTAGTCCACGTGCATTAATAGTCTGTATTCTCATACTGTATATGGGTTATATATTTTAGCTGCCTAGATCTCACTTGCCCTTGCCTGTTATGGTCCCCTCGTTGAGAAGGGGGGTACTGTGCGACTGTTTTACATGTTGACTTGAATGTAACGGTGACGTAGAGTTGCATAATGTGCACAGATAGGTAGTAGTATGGGTTTGGAAATGTTTTAGTTCCATTGGTGATTTGCGGCCGACCGTGGGAGTTTGGGGGTTAGAGAAAAATAACTAGGGGAGGGTGTAAAAACTATGTACAGAATGTTCCTTTCAAGGACTTTATGTGGATTAACCACATCTGGGGGGTAGGAAAGAAAGTTTCCTTCCATTAACGTGGCTATTTGGGCACCCTCATGACTTGTGACTGTGTGCTGCTTCTGATATGTGATTGGGCCAATCAAGGCCTCTGGGTAGGATCCCGACGTGGGCGCTACGGGTTAAGGACGGCCAGGGACCAGACGTTCTCACCTGAGTTAGAGAGTGTGTTATGGCGTGCTATCGGTTTCGGATGATCGGACCACATATGCTGATTGACCTGCTGTGTCTACTAGCGTCTGGCACAAAGGGGCCCTATGTATGTGTGTATCAGCAGTAAACTATAGCACAAACATTCTGAAATAAGAACATAACATGCAATAACTGTTATACGCTGCTAGCCGTCTGGTACCCCCGCCCGCCCCCCGTCACCCCCGCCCCAGAGATCAAAACATTCCCCAGGAGTCGCTACAGTTCCCACACATTCCAGGCCCGGACCACAACATCCCCGTTACCCCGCCAGACCTGTTAGTAGGAGCGTGCAACACTTTTAGTCCCGCAGCCTGTCTCGGCAGCTCCAAAGTCTCGTGGTCTACCTCAGGCCTCAGGTCGTGGTAGCATGCTCCACATCACTCCATTAAACTGTCCTGCCGCATATCCGAGTTGGAGGCTGCACAGGTCGCTGCACACACAGACCCGGGGAGAAGTGAAGGGGCGAGGGGGGGGGGAGAGGAGGGGCCCGCCATCCCAGGGTATTAGTCCAGACCGGGGACCCCCGCAGGTATCCTCTGCTCTGCGCACACTTCGTCACAGGGACAGCGGGAGGCCCCGATCCGGAGTCACCCATCCATCGAGATCCCAGGTTACAGGCTCGTGTCCAACTTTGTGCTGTACGTCCCAGGTTCTGCATATTGAAGGGAGAGGCACGTCAGGGTGTATATCCGTAGACATTATCTGGGTATTGTATATCCAAAGGGGCTTTCACCTGCGTACCAGGATTCCATCTGGTTTCAATGTTTCCCGTGAGCTTTTTCCCAGTCCGGCTTGAGTGTGCCCGCTTGTCGTGTAGACTGGACGGTCGGCTCCACCGGCAGGTTCCAGGCTTGTAGTTTCTTTAGGCCGTCCTCAGGGGAGTGTATCACCACTGTATCTCCATCTTGCTGTAACGAGAATATACCCCAACACGCAGGATTCAGCTAAACAGAAGACAACACAGAGGAGAGATACGTCTACCGGACCTTAGAATGGCCGGACTCGACGTATATGAGAGGAGACAGAGTCAGGAACGATCCGAAATCAAGGGCACAGAGAGACAGCGTAAACTAGGACAAGCCGGGGTCTGGTACACAGTAAACAACAAGCCGACAACCAGAACAGAAGGATAAAGAGAAAACGTAGTCAGAAACAAAGCCAAGGTCAATACGGAGAAACACAACTGAACACAACAAGCGCTAAAGGGAACTGATACAGAAACCACGATAGGGCAGGGAGTAGAGGGAGAGGTAAGTTTAAATAGCTTCAAAACTAATGTGATTGGCTCCTGTCATATCCACACCCCCAAAAGGTAAGTGTATGGGGAGTGTGGTATGACAGGGGCCAATGGGAGCCTTTTGACAATTTAGGCTCCCACTGTCTCTTTAAGAGCGCGCCCGAGACTCGCGGCGCGCTCTTAGATTCAGGCGGGACACGTGACCGCTTCTCGCGGTCACTGCCCGCCTTGCTAGTGGAGCCGTCGGATGAGCCGCGCGCGGCTCGTGCAGCAGCATGACCGCGCGCGGCTTGAAGAGAGGACCGCGGCCGGCCCCTGGAGAAGGTGAGTAACGCTACAGTACCCCTCCCCGAGGACACGCCCTCCGGGCGGGTAGGGCCAGGCCTGGCCAGAAAACAAGAATGGTAAGAACGCACAAGGCGGGGAGCGTGAACAGCATCAGCTAACATCCAACTGCGCTCCTCAGGCCCATAACCCTTCCAATGCACCAAGTACTGAAGTCGACCCCTAAGGTAACGAGAGTCAAGAACAGCAGAGACTTCGAATTCCTCATGGCCCTCCACGGAGACAGGAGGGGGAGGCGGAGAATGCCGGGTATAGCGGTTGCGTACGTAAGGTTTTAACAATGAAGTGTGAAATACATTAGGAATACGCAGATTCCTAGGAAGACCCAAGGCGTATTAAACAGGATTAACCTTATGCAGTATACGATAAGGACCTATGAAGCGGGGAGCCAATTTCATAGAAGGCACCCGCAGGCGAATATTCCGCATGGAAAGCAAAACCCTGTCCCCCACAACATAAGTAGGAGCCGCCCTGCGATGCTTGTCAGCCTGAGCCTTCTGGCGAGCAGCGGAATCCACCAAAGAACGCTGAACCTGCTCCCAAGTATTACGCAAACCAGCCAAATGCTCATCCAGAACTGGCATGCCCTGTGAGGAGAATGCAGCCGGAAGAACAACGGGATGCTGGCCATAGACAACGTAAAAAGGGCTTTTGCCGGAAGAATCATGAGTGGCATTATTCCGAGCAAACTCAGCCCAAGGAAGTAGGTCAGACCAATTGTCCTGATGGTGAGACACAAAACAACGAAGGTACTGCTCCAGAGACTGGTTGGCACGTTCAGCAGCTCCATTAGACTGGGGATGGTAAGTGGAAGAAAATGAGAGAGAAATACCCATTTCTGAGCAAAAGGCTTTCCAGAACCTGGAAATAAATTGGCTACCCCTATCGGACACAATAGATACAGGAATACCATGTAACCGAAATACTTCTCTAGTGAAGATAAGAGCCAGTTTCTTGGATGTGGGCAACTTGCTAAGAGACACAAAGTGAGCCATCTTGGAAAACCGATCTACTATCATCAGGATGACTGTGTTACCATTCGAAGGGGGTAATTCAACAATAAAATCCATGGATAGGTTAGACCAAGGTCTCTCGGGAACTGGTAAGGGATGCAGAAGCCCACAAGGAACTCTACGAGACGTTTTCATACATGCACAAGTAGTACAAGCACTTATATAGTCAGTGACATCCTTACGTAAGGAACCCCACCAAAAATATCGAGAAATGGCTGACATCGTTTTGGTAATACCAGGATGTCCAGCAGTCTTAGTATCATGATATAATGACAGAATCTCCCGTCTCTCGGGAACATCAACAAACAATTTATCAATAGGCCTCTCGCTAGGTGCCATACTTTGTTTTGCCTGTATGGTCTGCAAGAGGGATGAAGAAATAGACAACATAGTAGTGGCTATTATCCTGTCTGGGGGAATGACAGGAGTAACATCAACCTCCTGTTTGTCAGTAGTTTTGAACTGTCTGGACAGAGCATCTGCTTTAATGTTGCGATCACCTGGCCTATAGGTGATAATATAATTGAAACGGGACAAAAATAGTGACCATCTGGCCTGTCTAGAAGATAATCTTTTAGCTTCACCAAGGTAGGATAGATTCTTGTGATCAGTAAAAATTAGAATAGGATCCTTAGTTCCTTCTAACAGATGTCTCCATTCTTTAAGGGCTAAGATAATAGCAAGGAGTTCACGATTACCCACATCATAATTCCTTTCAGCTTTGGACATTTGTCTAGAAAAGAAGCCACAAGGATGCAATGGCTTTTCAGGCGATTCTCTTTGGGACAAAACAGCACCTACCCCGATTTCAGAAGCATCAACTTCAAGAATATAAGGCAGTGAGGGGATAGGGTGCTGTAAAATAGGTGCCGAGGCGAATGTAGTTTTAAGAAAGTCGAAAGCCTGAAGTGCCTCGGGAGACCAGACACGAGTATTACCACCCTTTTTTGTCATACGGGTAATAGGTGCTACAATAGAAGAAAAACCCTTAATAAAGCGTCTATAATAGTTAGAGAAACCAAGAAAACGTTGAATTGCTTTCAAACCCTGTGGTAGAGGCCACTCTATAACCGCAGAAAGCTTCTGGGGATCCATACGAAACCCTTTGGCGGAAATCAAATACCCCAAGAACTGGACTTCAGATTGGTCAAATAAACATTTTTCTAGTTTACAGTAAAGACCATTATTAAGAAGGGTCTTCAATACCGTTGTGACATGCCTGTGATGAGTGTGTAAATCTGTAGAATATATCAATATGTCGTCCAAATATACAATTACAAATGTGTGAATAAAGTCTCTTAGGACGTCATTAATAAATTCCTGAAATACTGCTGGGGCATTGCAAAGACCAAATGGCATAACAGTATATTCGTAATGACCGGATCTAGTGTTGAATGCAGTCTTCCATTCGTGACCTTCCTTTTATGCGTATTAAATTGTATGCACCTCTAAGGTCCAATTTGGTGAACACAGTAGCATGTTTCAGCCTGTCAAAATAACTCTGTAATTAAAGGTATAGGGTATGCATTTTTGATAGTGATTTTGTTTAGACCTCTATAATCAATGCACGGTCTTAAATCACCCTCTTTCTTAGATACAAAGAAAAACCCTGCTCCAGCCGGAGAAGAGGATCTCCTAATGAACCCCTTTTCTAGTGATTCTTTAACATACTCCTCCATGATACGGTTCTCTTGAATAGATAAGGGGTACACCCTGCCCTTAGGAGGTATAGTGCCCGGCAATAAATCGATAGCACAATCATAGGATCTGTGAGGCGGTAATTTATCAGCTTCCCTTTTATCGAATACAGTTTTGAGAAACAAGTACTGAGGAGGTATAACAGTAGACAAAGGAGGAGTGGTAGGAACATTAATGGTATTTAAAGGGGTGACTTTAATCATACAAGAGTCATGGCAGGTTTTACCCCATGATTTTAATTGTCCCAATTCCCAGTCAAAAATGGGATTGTGAGAACACAACCATGGGTACCCTAACACGATATGAGAAGAGGGAGAGGTGATAACCTGAAACCGAATGGTCTCAAAGTGTAAAACCCCTGTGTACATGAATAATGGTACAGTTTCATGGGTAACGACTGGAGTTTTTAAAGGTCTACCATCTATGGCCTCAATGGCCAAGGGTATCTCCCTTTCTCTGACGGGAATGTTATTTTTTGTAACAAACTCAGTCAATGAAGTTCTCAGCAGCCCCAGAATCAACCAAGGCTAGTATGCATTCTGCTATACAACTCACCCCCGTATGAAGGGAAACAGGGAGAAGCAAACGATTAGGAGGCAATTTAGGAGACTTAGAGATCACACCCAAGGCCAGTCCCCTATAAGGTCTTAGGTGCGAGAGTTTTCCGGACGCAAAGGACATTCCCTTACCATATGGTCTCGCCTACCACAGTATAGGCAGAGTCCATTCCTTCTTCTAAGTAGTTTTTCAGTATCCGAGAGTTTGGCAACCCCTAATTGCATGGGTTCCTCCTCGGATACTTTAACACTCTCAGGTTTATCAACTCTGGGGTTAATAGATGTGACCAGACGTCTATTCTTGTTTTTGGTATAGAGCCTGTCGCGAATTCTATTATCTATATCAATGAGGTAGTCAATAAGATCCTCTAATGGAATAGGAAGCTCCCTTGCCGCTACCTCATCTAATATAGTGTCAGATAAACCTTCCATGAACGCAGTAGTTAACCCATTATTGGTCCAATCTACCTGTGAAGCAAGGGTACGAAACTGAATAGCATAATCCGCCACAGACCTAGACCCCTGTTTAATCCTCATTAATGCTCTTGCGGCATTCTTTGACCTCTTTGTTGTGTCAAAAGTTCTACGAAAAGCCGCAAGAAAACTATTGAAATCATGAACCATAGGTCCATTGGCCTCCCAAATAGGATTTGCCCACTCTAGTGCTTTGTCAGTAAGTTGATGCATCAAAAACCCCACTTTAGACCTATCAGTGGGAAAGGAATGAGGATACATCTCAAAGTGGAATTCTATTTGATTAATAAAACCTCTGCATGTCTTGGCTTCCCCTCCATACCTAGGAGGAGGTGTTAAATGGGGCGAAGCATTGGTTGAATTGGATACTTCGGGAGGATGAGGTGTGGGAGGGTTAGGTGCGGTTGCAGGAATGGTTCTAGATAAGAGCGTCTGGAGAGCCTGTGCTATCTGATCCATACGGTGATCCTGCTCTACAAATCTTGCCTCGTGAGAAGCCATTTGCTGAGCCAAATCTGCGGGGTCCATGGCCCTATCGTAATGTAACGAGAATATACCCCAACACGCAGGATTCAGCTAAACAGAAGACAACACAGAGGAGAGATACGTCTACCGGACCTTAGAATGGCCGGACTCGACGTATATGAGAGGAGACAGAGTCAGGAACGATCCGAAATCAAGGGCACAGAGAGACAGCGTAAACTAGGACAAGCCGGGGTCTGGTACACAGTAAACAACAAGCCGACAACCAGAACAGAAGGATAAAGAGAAAACGTAGTCAGAAACAAAGCCAAGGTCAATACGGAGAAACACAACTGAACACAACAAGCGCTAAAGGGAACTGATACAGAAACCACGATAGGGCAGGGAGTAGAGGGAGAGGTAAGTTTAAATAGCTTCAAAACTAATGTGATTGGCTCCTGTCATATCCACACCCCCAAAAGGTAAGTGTATGGGGAGTGTGGTATGACAGGGGCCAATGGGAGCCTTTTGACAATTTAGGCTCCCACTGTCTCTTTAAGAGCGCGCCCGAGACTCGCGGCGCGCTCTTAGATTCAGGCGGGACACGTGACCGCTTCTCGCGGTCACTGCCCGCCTTGCTAGTGGAGCCGTCGGATGAGCCGCGCGCGGCTCGTGCAGCAGCATGACCGCGCGCGGCTTGAAGAGAGGACCGCGGCCGGCCCCTGGAGAAGGTGAGTAACGCTACACTTGCGTGACGATCAATTTTGTGGGGAATCCCCACCTATACCGTATGCCGTGAGACCTCAACGTGCCGGTGACTTAATGGAAGTCTTTCCTTTTCCGTAGTGTGGCGGCTGATAGGTCCGTATAAATTTTGACCGTTGGGTAGTCAGCCGGCGGCTTAGCTCTCAGTCTGCTGCTCCGGTGGATGTGTTCCTTTATGTGGAAATAATGTGCCCGCAACAGTATGTCTCGCGGTACCGTTTGTGGGAGATGACGGGGTTTCGGGATGCGGTGAGCCTGATCTACCAGCAGCATATCTGTGGGTATCTCCGGTGCATGGGCGTGCAGGAGGTTCCTGACATAAGCCGGCAAGTCGTCGGTAGTGACATCTTCAGGAACTCCTCGCAGGCGTAGATTATTCCGGCGGGACCGGTCCTCCATATCCGCCATTTTTTCTTCCATAATGTTAATCTTTGCTGCCATGCGTTCAACATTCGTGGCCAGATCATTGTGCGCCGTGGCAAATTCGTCACATTTATCCTCCATATGCGTCCCAGCTCCTGGATGTCCTTCCGTAAGGAGTCTGCTGTGTGTTGCCATGTGGTGATTAGCTTAGCAGACAGGACCTCCAGGGCTGCTGTAAGGTCAGCCTTAGTGATCTGTGTTGTATCTGATCTTGCCTCCAAGCCGGTATCGTGCGTGCCGTCATCCGATTCAGGATCCTCTGCTGCTTTTGAGGCCTGCGTAGCCAGGGCCGCAGAAGTTTGTTTCTGGCTAAAAAAATTGAGCTTATCCAGCTTCACCGAGCTCCTCTTGCTTTTGTGGTGGGACATTGTCGGTCTATCTTGTTGGATGCAGCTTTAGGCTGTAGGATTATGCTGGATTAGGTGCCCTGGTGCCAGAGCAAGTTTTCATGCTGCCATTTTGCTCCGTGGTTAGCCACGCCCCCAAATAATGTTATTTTAACACTTTCCATGCACTAATTCTACCACCAGTCTTTGTCAAACTTTTGGGTAGTCATTTGTTTGTCTTATTTTTCTCTCACATTGTACTTGAGGCATGGATTCTCAGTTCCTGTTCCACAATATGTGTTCAGCAACATCTCCCATGTCCCTATGTACAGGTTTTATGGGTTTTTGCAAACTTACAGGGGTCAAATGTAGGGCTTTCCCCTTTTCCATGTTTGCGCGTTGAAATTTGCCAGATTGGTTTGTTGGGCCTATGTTGCTTTTGAGACCGTATGGCAGCCCAGGAATGAAAATTAACCCCATCATGGCATACCATTTGTAAAAGTAGACAACCCACGGTACTCAAAATGGGGTATGTCCAGTCATTTTTAGTAGCCACTTAGTCACAAACCCTGGCTAAAATGAGCGTTTATATTAGTTTTTTTGCATTTTTCACACAAACTACCATTTCACAGATGAGAACAGTATAATACATTTTACTGCTGTAAAATACTCATATTTTTTTTTTTTTTTGATCTTGCACATTTTTATAAGGTTGAGTTATGCGGTATACAGTATCGATTGTCATTACTTAAGCATGTTCATAACATAAAATAAAATCTTTGCTTAACTTCTGCTCCTGGAATAAAATTAAGATGCTGTGTCTAGTGTAACGGTGACTATACCAGCAAACTAGTGTGGTTGATTCGGTTTTGTGAGTCGCTTAATTGAATCTTTTTTTTTTTTGTTTTGTTGTATTAAACTGGATTAAGATGCTATGGAGCGAATGTTACCTTTCCGATGTAACAGATTATGTGAGGGCTAGATTACCCTATGCTGACTACGATGTAAAGCAAAACATTGCCCTATTTTATGGTACATCAAAAAAAGGTAAATTGCATACATTTGCACACATTTGCCAGCTTTAGGCATAGTCATGTGGAGATAACTTGGATTCAAACTTAAAAGTATTGAGTAGATCAGGTTATTGGTAAATGTAGGTCGCATTAGCCAGCGTTGTGGGTACAGGAGGTAAATTTACATGTCTGACCTAGGTTAGTAACCTGTGCTAGTGTGTCTGGCTTGTGAGGCAAATGCTCATTAGTGCATGCATGGTAAGCAGGCTAGACTGCGGATCTAGGTATATACACTAAGGCTACATTAACATATGAAGAAGTGAGATGCCTAGAGTTACAGTAGGCTGACTAAGCGTGTAAAACATATCCGATTAAAGTAAATAAAGGGTACTGGCAGGTTGCACAGTGCGTTAGAGTCAATGGAGGGGGAAATCACCGGCTTTTGAGTGCGTTTTACGGCTCTCAGTGTCGGCCGTCCGCCTCAGGTATTCGGTCCAGTGTTTGTTTCAGCCGATGCCCCGTTTAGAGATGGTCTGATTGCACGCTGATGGCTTCTCCAGGGTAGCCGACCCCCCTGTCTCCTGGTCGGTGTTGCGGCCTGTTCTATGGGTTCTCCTGTGCGGCAGCGTGTCATGCTGGGCATAGGTCTCTGGAGCCACTGTAGGGCGAGTGGGTCGGGTGCACCGGCGGATTTCGATTTGGTGCGTGGGGGCGTTGGTGCCGGTGACCAGGCAATCTTGCACCGTTTCCCGCTGTGGTGGCCTTCTGCTCCGGCTCTGTCTGGGGGCCGTTCTGGCTCTAGGGGGGTTTACTCCCAGCTGGCGGCGGAGTGCCGGGCGGATCCATCCCGCTACTGCTCTCATCACCTGCTTGAAGGTCAGTCTCCGTGTATTAAGCCGTGTCCAGAGGCTGGTTCGGAGCCGGTCAAAAAACTCCCGTGTATGCTTGGGAGGCTCAGTGAGTGGGCGCGTAATTGTAGGCTGCTTCTGTGCCGCCATCTTGTTTGGGCCTTGCTCTCTCCGTTTTGCTTTAGACATCGTCGCTTGGTCAGGCAATATTGTGGGGGTAGTCGCCCCCAGCGAGGACCGGGATATCCCCCGCCGGTCCAGAGGGGGGGTAGCAGGGCTGTGTGGAAATCTCGCTCGTGAGTGTGTCCTGTGCCGGGTGAGCGGCCGCCTCTCCCGGACCTCAGGCTTTGCTCTGCCGAAGGCCGCATGGTCGTCGCGGGTTTCTCTGCATCGCATCGGGACCGGACCGGTACCATTCTATGTCTCATGGTGTCTTGGCTCGGTCCCCGGGCACTGTTTGTTGCCATCGTGGATAGGTCGCTCTGTGGTAGCCAGTTTATGCTCTTTATTACAGGAGCTCTTAGACTGTGCGACCGGCCATCTTGGCTGTCAGGCCCCGCCCCCCTAAAATACTCATATTTATGTAGAGTAATGTCTTATGTGTACAACAGTACCCATGAGGCACAGGTTTTATGGTGATTTGAAAAGTTACAGGGTCAAACATAAGATTTGCCAATTTCTGTTTTTGTAAATTGCCATTTGCCAGATTACTGGGCCTATGTTGCCTTTGAGACGGTATTGCAGCCCAGAAATAAAAATTAACCCCACCATGACATACCATTTGAAAAAGTAGGCAACCCAGGGTCTTCAAAATCGGGAATGGCTAGTATTTTGTAGTAGCCACTTAGCCACAAACGCTTGCCAAAGTTAGCATTCATATTTGTTTTTTGCATTTTTTTTTTTTTTACACAAAAACTGCACTTTTACTGGCGATATCATTGTGGTGATCAGTTTTATGCTTTTAAACACTCATATTTGTGTTTAGCAAAGTCTCCAGAGTATAACAATACCCCCCATGTACAGGTTTTATGGTGTTTTGGAAAGTTACGCGGTTAAATAAATATAGGGCTTGCCAATTAAATTCTCTGGACTGTCTGCCTGGGTTGCCAGGCAGGTCCCTCAAATTAGAATTCATAAAATCAAATAATTATGTAGTTAAATATATGTAGAATGTGTATAAAATATAAATATATATATATATTTTTTTTTTTTTTAAATGTACATTATGTGTGTGTGTGTGTGTGTATGTGTATATGTATATATATGAAACCAAGAGGGCTACACTCACCTGAACATGCATACATTAAAGGGTGCTACTGGGGCCAAAATATACAAAATGCAGAATCCAGCGCACTCGCTTATTCACTAAACAATGATTTCAAATCTTAGAGATTGTAATAGTTTTATTTAAAAACACATCATCTAGGCAAAAAATAATGGGGGTTTAGTTACATTATTTGATCATATATTGCATAAGCCTGCCACACCGTCAATGTACCCCATTCTTGGCAGGTCCTACTCTAGCAGCCTAATGCTTGCTCTTATGAGATTAATCCACTTACTTGGGAAATACTTCCTTACTGGGACTCTCTGCAAGTCAAGGCTAAATAGGGTCCTGGAATGAGGCACCTGTGACAGGGAGGGTAGCCACGGATCGCTGTTCCAAGTAAGTCCAGGGCTCCTATTGCTTGTAGTAAACTACATTTTAATGTTTTTAAATGTATGAGTGATGGTAAAACATGTTAGTGATTCACTACAAGCAATCTGTGGTGAGAGTATGATGTATTAATCAGCATATTAAATTATAGTAGCTAATTCTCTCTATTAGTTTACCACATTTTTAATCAGCCTTTCCTTGTATCCTTAGAGTATTTTTATGGTTCGAAATATTTTAACTGTGCTGTTATCCTGTAAATAGTGCCACATGGTGGCAGCATGTTCCTTAAAACCTTGTGAGATGCCCTCGTGCAATATCACATGTAGAAAAAAGTGACAGTCTGGGCACCATAACTGCTACAGTCCATTGACGTGGTAATGGAGTGCGCAGGCTGAACACATCTGTCACTTGTCAATCCTATGTATTATTATACCATTATATTCTGCTGACATAAACAACGGGACAAGCAAAAAAAAACGCAAAACAATAAATTAACCCCTTAAGGACCAAACTTCTGGAATAAAAGGGAATCATCACATGTCACACATGTCGTGTCCTTAAGGGGTTAAAGGTCCACTAAATGCATCTCAATTAAGTGGTCCTGGTGCAGTTGCCGTATAGTTTTATCCCAGCAATGATTTGTTTTGCAGGGTTAAACACACCTCTAGCGACTATCTTCCTCTACTACGACAGAGTGAAACTAGCAATGGGGGATAGTTATCACTTTTCTGACTATCTGCGAATCTGTCAGATTTTTTCATATGTTGCTTTTTTTTTCGCAACCTATCCGCTGGTTTTGTATATGCGACATTTATACACCGACACACATCAGATTTAAGAAAACTTCGGCCACTTTTTCCAATTAAAGAATAGCAGATTTTTTTTCCACCGCTATAAATCTGGCGCTCTTCTGAAATGGGAATTTCTGTGAAACCTTGACGAATTTACTATGATGGAAAGTGTGAATTTTTAGATCACTTTAACAAATGCGATCTGGATAATCAAGGAATCCAACCATCTCTTTTCAGAACAGTTTGATAAAAAATATGCCCCGTTTTTATTTTCGCTCCTCATTTGCAATCTATGCCCGGACTGTGCTAACACTGAACTGGGTTGTGATGTCAATGGCTGAATCAATAATGTACATTTTAAAAGAAAACCGAGCATCGTGAAAAAAACAACACGTTAACGGACGATGTAGGGGATTTTCCTCTAATTTCCAGAGATGTGACTGTTCCCCTTTAAGTACTAACAGTCACAGGAGGACTCTGTTACTCTATAGCCTTCTCTCATCTCAATTCTATTGCATCAACCCACCCGTTGCCAGAATTTGCGAGACCATGCTTTGTGCTAAGGGTGTGACTGTATAATGAAGCCTGCGAGACATGGGTTGAGTAAAATACAGATTAGGGACCGGCACACACAAATAAAATATATATAGTTTTAAATTTTACTTAGTCACCTAGCTTAGCAAATAAATATGGGGATTCAGTTCCACCATATGACCATATTGTGTTAGACCCACCACTACGTCACAGTCCCCCAATATTCCTACACTAATATTAACATGCTAACTACAATAATTACTGCTTTTTTAGAGAGACTCCTCAAATGTATTCTTTCCTGAGGTCACCTCCCAAGGGGCACACATAGGGATGGGTGGGGTGATCGACCCAATAGGAATCTGGTCTGGATTCCAAATATATTCAAAACAAATGGGAATTGCGGGGCACACCCCGACTATGCGTATCTCAGTAGTGGTGCTGTTGTAAAGATCAAAATACTGTATTTACAAAATACAGATTAAGGAACAGCGTACAGAAAAAAACAGGATTAAAATTGTATGAGGCTACCTAATGTCGCCAATCTTAGCAAACAAATATGGGGATTCATACACCATATGGACATCTTGTGTGTGACGGGTTCCTGTGCCCCGACTGAGCACACCTGTCTGAACAGCTTCTTCCACTGCCAAACCACAGATATCAGCCCATTCACGGAGATTCAGTCAGCGAACACCTCTACCCCACGAACAGCTTGAGGGTAGAAGAGGAACTAATTTTTATTACACACACCCATTTGTATACAAGTAAACTCATTAGTAAACGCACGAAGGTTTGGAACAGCAACCAATCAAACTGGGCCTAAACAAACAGCCAATCACACTAAGCCCATTAATAACCAATAGGATACACCATCACAGAACACCTACTTTGCATACACAGGAAAACATTATGCATTAGGTAAAGGGAATAACACACAGCCAACAATAGGTGACACAGCTCGCTGAGTCACAAAGGGGAAAGTCCCAACCCCCACCCATGTGGTCACACAGTCTCTGGTTCGGCGCCATCTTGTTGCTCCACATTCCTGGGAGTATTATTTCTGTGGAGCTCTGTTATACACTCACACACCAACAAAATAGAGCTCTTAGAAAAGAGGGAAATTAGGATAGAAAAGAGGGACAGAGATGTTTGGAAACAAAATAAGGAGTACTTGGGCAGGGTCCTTACATTATATTGATCTCAGTAGCTCGTCAATCAGTTCATAAACTGAGCCTATGATTAAGTGCCATAGCTATCCTTTCCATCTTCCCCTATTTTATTGGCAGTATTTACAATGAGTAAACTATTGTGTATTTAACATCGCTCGGAGCATTCAAGGAGTTGTTATAATTTTCTTTCCTGATTTATAGTACCAAGATTGAGCAGATCTCGAAGTCACTACCAGATTGTACACACTGTATACTGACACTGTACTTCATATAACACAGTGCATCTTGCTACGATGTAACATCCATCATATCGTATATCTTATTTAGATTAACGCTGGGTGAGAGGCGTGATGGCGTGACAACACAGGCGTACAAAAAGAACAGCTAATATAAATCTAAATTCTCCTCTCAAAGAAACATTATTTGGTGTTTGAATCATTCCAGTCAATCCCTTGTGAGTTCTGCCTCTCCCCCTTTACTGTCACTATCCCCACCTTACTTTATATGATCCAGTACAATACACACAGACACATTCAATCAAGCAGAACTCCTGTAACAAATTGTAACAAGCAATCTAGCCTGAAGCACTGTGTACTGGCTGCGTTAAGCTGACCGTGTCCCACTAATTAGTTCTAGCGTTTACTTCCAGTGTTAATGGTTTCTTGTCCCCGGTCACCGAGCGTTGCTGCTTTATAGGCATTCTCCAGTTAGACTGTCTCCTCATTAATGAGTAGATTATTTAAATATTGTAACTGCAGCAACTAAACCTGTGGAGACACGTAGCTGAATCCTTAACACCACGCTCCTTTCTTGTAATCTAAGCTGCCAGTCAGTTCTGTACAGCTGGGCTGATATTTTGCCAAATTCAAGGCCACTTGGAGTCTTGGCGTGGCCGACTGGCTTATTCTAAAACTGAAAATCTAATACTTCACTGCTTCACGCCACAAACTGCAGGAAAAGCAAACATTCACACAAACATCGACCGAAGACACGAATAACTCCTTAACTGTGCACTATGGCTTAATCCCAGGGCAACAAAGCACTTTCTAAACCATATGCTAACTATATATGGGGGTGCATGTCTCTCTCTCCTCCCAGCCCCAAACCCCCATGTATTGTTCTGCGTTGTGCTTACCAGCCATAGGGCTATGGTTTTTTATACCATTTTGAACTTGAAAAATCAGCTCTGGGGTATTGTTCCCATTGGTAAAATGTGATTTCTGTTTCCTCCCAAACTGTCTTGGATTTGGTGTGACTGTCCCAGATGTGGGCTCTTGTCTCACCATCCTTGGTATGTTCTTACATAGATGCCAGACAGATGTTGCCACACCTGTGAGGTGGATGGATAATCTCGGCAAAGGAGAAGTGCTCACTAACACAGATTCAGACAGATTTATGGACAATATTTGAGAGAAATGGGCCTTTTGTGTACATAGAAAAAGTCTTAGAGCTTTGAGTTTACCTCATGAAAAATGGGGGCAAAAACAAAAGTGTTGTATTTATAATTTTGTTTAGTGTATGTCATATTACCCTTTTTTCAGAATGGAAACTAATTGCAAACCCAAAATACAAATATTGATTTAAAAAAAATGTTTTAGACTTGCTGATTTTGCTTTGCACATAGCACTAAACACTATGAGGGGAAAAAAGCAAACATATAACACCGTCAATAAAAGAAACCGAGAAAACCGAGAAATATCCTTTTTCCAGCCCAGCAAGAAAACATGTTAAAAGCACAGTGTTTACTCCAAGCAAATATCCAGATAAATGGCAATAAATACCAAAGATAGGGCATTAAGTGCTTCGTCTAAAAAAACTACTCTCTTTGAATCTCGTAAAGGACATGAAAGACGAAGGCCTTCTCACGGGCGTCTCCCTTCCTATGGAATAGCCTGCCTACCGCCATCAGACTCTCCCCTAGTCTTCAATCGTTTAAGAAGTGCCTTAAAACCCATCTCCCAAGACAGTTTGGGAGGAAACAGAGTAACTTCTACCTCACACACCTGTCTCTTGCCCTCTCCTATAGGACAATGCTTTACTCTCTCCTCCAGCTCTGCTTCACTCCCACCTTATTTGATTGCAATTTCCTGTCCTAATGTGTTTTATACCCCACCTCCTATAGATTGTAAGCTCGTTTGAGCAGGGTCCTCTCCAACCTATCGTTCCTGTAATTGTCCTATTTATAATTACATCCCCCCTCTCATGATATTTTGAAGCGTGACGGAATCTGTTGGCGCTACATAAATGGCAATAATAATAATTAATAATAATAATACATGGGAAAGGAATGGTAGAGGAATCTTGGTCTAACCAGCCAAGCACAGACACTAAATGACTGGAATTCACTAAACACACAATGTTTGTATTTGTTACAAGATGGCTTGATGTGTCTCCGGACCCAGGGAGTCACGGCTCATTCCTAATCTCTAACTCTGAGTATTTATACAGAGACCTGGGAATGCACTCAAACAAGTCAGCAGCTAATTAGATCTGTCTGGCTACTTAATGGATCTGTCTGGCTACTAAACGTACCCCGCTGCCACATTCTACACAAAATGCAACCTTTGAAATAAAAGGCCTCTGGTAGTTACAGTCGACATTCAATGCTTGGAGGGATGGGAGATCTCCTGTTTAGATTAACTATTGAAGTGTTCCCCTACACTATGTAAAAGGTCTCCACCATAACACCGTAGATACATAGACAAAGCACATGCTGAACTCCATAAGACTCTAATATGTATATTGTAATGATAGATCTTGAAGTGATGTTGTGTGTGTATATAATATATGTAAGCAGGGCTACCAACTGTCTTAGATCCAATGGGACCATCTCGAATTACAGGTCCTATTCTCATAGGATGGGGCTGAGTACACCTGTTAGCGCTATATAAATAAACATTACAGTAGAGGGAGGTACAGTAAGTGCAGTAGGTATACAGTGTATGTATATTTTATTTATATAGCGCTAACAGGTGTACTCAGCACTTTACAGGTTACATTACAGTAGAGGGAGGTACAGTAAGTGCAGTAGGTATACAGTGTATGTATATTTTATTTATATAGCGCTAACAGGTGTACTCAGCACTTTACAGGTTACATTACAGTAGAGGGAGGAACAGTAAGTGCAGTAGGTATACATTGTATGTATATTTTATTTATATCAAGCTAACAGGTGTACTCAGCACTTTACAGGTTACATTACAGTAGAGGGAGGTACAGTAAGTGCAGTAGGTATACAGTGTATGTATATTATATTTATATCAAGCTAACAGGTGTACTCAGCACTTTACAGGTTACATTACAGTAGAGGGAGGTACAGTAAGTGCAGTAGGTATACAGTGTATGTATATTTTATTTATATAGCGCTTACAGGTGTACTCAGCACTTTACAGGTTACATTACAGTAGAGGGAGGTACAGTAAGTGCAGTAGGTATACATTGTATGTATATTATATTTATATAGTGCTAACAGGTGTACTCAGCACTTTACAGGTTACATTACAGTAGAGGGAGGTGCAGTAGGTATACAGTGTATGTATATTATATTTATATAGCGCTAACAGGTGTACTCAGCACTTTACAGGTTACATTACAGTAGAGAGAGAGGTACAGTAAGTGCAGTAGGTATACAGTGTGTGTATATTATATTTATATAGCGCTAACAGGTGTACTCAGCACTTTACAGGTTACATTACAGTAGAGGGAGGTACAGTGAGTGCAGTAGGTATACAGTGTATGTATATTTTATTTATATAGCGCTAACAGGTGTACTCAGTACTTTACAGGTTACATTACGGTATGGGAGGTACAGTAAGTTCAGTAGGTATACAGTGTATGTATATTTTATTTATATAGCGCTAACAGGTGTACTCAGTACTTTACAGGTTACATTACAGTAGAGGGAGGTACAGTAAGTGCAGTAGGTATACAGTGTATGTATATTATACAGGGAGTGCAGAATTATTAGGCAAATGAGTATTTTGACCACATCATCCTCTTTATGCATGTTGTCTTACTCCAAGCTGTATAGGCTCGAAAGCCCACTACCAATTAAGCATATTAGGTGATGTGCATCTCTGTAATGAGAAGGGGTGTGGTCTAATGACATCAACACCCCATATCAGGTGTGCATAATTATTAGGCAACTTCCTTTCCTTTGGCAAAATGGGTCAAAAGAAGGACTTGACAGGCTCAGAAAAGTCAAAAATAGTGAGATATCTTGCAGAGGGATGCAGCACTCTTAAAATTGCAAAGCTTCTGAAGCGTGATCATCGAACAATCAAGCGTTTCATTCAAAATAGTCAACAGGGTCGCAAGAAGCGTGTGGAAAAACCAAGGCGCAAAATAACTGCCCATGAACTGAGAAAAGTCAAGCGTGCAGCTGCCACGATGCCACTTGCCACCAGTTTGGCCATATTTCAGAGCTGCAACATCACTGAGTGCCCAAAAGCACAAGGTGTGCAATACTCAGAGACATGGCCAAGGTAAGAAAGGCTGAAAGACGACCACCACTGAACAAGACACACAAGCTGAAACGTCAAGACTGGGCCAAGAAATATCTCAAGACTGATTTTTCTAAGGTTTTATGGACTGATGAAATGAGAGTGAGTCTTGATGGGCCAGATGGATGGGCCCGTGGCTGGATTGGTAAAGGGCAGAGAGCTCCAGTCCGACTCAGACGCCAGCAAGGTGGAGGTGGAGTACTGGTTTGGGCTGGTATCATCAAAGATGAGCTTGTGGGGCCTTTTCGGGTTGAGGATGGAGTCAAGCTCAACTCCCAGTCCTACTGCCAGTTCCTGGAAGACACCTTCTTCAAGCAGTGGTACAGGAAGAAGTCTGCATCCTTCAAGAAAAACATGATTTTCATGCAGGACAATGCTCCATCACACGCGTCCAAGTACTCCACAGCGTGGCTGGCAAGAAAGGGTATAAAAGAAGAAAATCTAATGACATGGCCTCCTTGTTCACCTGATCTGAACCCCATTGAGAACCTGTGGTCCATCATCAAATGTGAGATTTACAAGGAGGGAAAACAGTACACCTCTGAACAGTGTCTGGGAGGCTGTGGTTGCTGCTGCACGCAATGTTGATGGTGAACAGATCAAAACACTGACAGAATCCATGGATGGCAGGCTTTTGAGTGTCCTTGCAAAGAAAGGTGGCTATATTGGTCACTGATTTGTTTTTGTTTTGTTTTGAATGTCAGAAATGTATATTTGTGAATGTTGAGATGTTATATTGGTTTCACTGGTAATAATAAATAATTGAAATGGGTATATATTTGTTTTTTGTTAAGTTGCCTAATAATTATGCACAGTAATAGTCACCTGCACACACAGATATCCCCTAACATAGCTAAAACTAAAAACAAACTAAAAACTACTTCCAAAAATATTCAGCTTTGATATTAATGAGTTTTTTGGGTTCATTGAGAACATGGTTGTTGTTCAATAATAAAATTAATCCTCAAAAATACAACTTGCCTAATAATTCTGCACTCCCTGTATTTATATAGCACTAACCTGTATATTCTGCACTTTACAGGTTACATTACAGTAGAGGGAGGTACAGTAAGTGCAGTAGGTATACAGTGTATGTATATTATATTTATATAGCGCTAACAGGTATACTCAGCACTTTACAGGTTACATTACAGTAGAGGGAGGTACAGTGAGTGCAGTAGGTATACAGTGTATGTATATTTTATTTATATAGCACTAACAGGTGTACTCAGTACTTTACAGGTTACATTACAGTAGAGGGAGGTACAGTAGGTACAATAGGTATACAGTGTGTGTATATTTTATCTATATAGCGCTAACAGGTGTACTCCGCACTTTACAGGTTACATTACAGTAGAGGGAGGTACAGTAAGTGCAGTAGGTATACAGTGTATGTATATTTTATTTATATAGCGCTAACAGGTGTACTCAGCACTTTACAGGTTACATTACAGTAGAGGGAGGTACAGTAAGCGCAGTAGGTATACAGTGTATGTATATTTTATTTATATAGCACTAACAGGTGTACTCAGCACTTTACAGGTTACATTACAGTAGAGGGAGGTACAGTAAGTGCACTAGGTATACAGTGTATGTATATTTTATTTATATAGCACTAACAGGTGTACTCAGCACTTTACAGGTTACATTACAGTAGAGGGAGGTACAGTAAGTGCAGTAGGTATACTGTGTATGTATATTATATTTATATAGCACTAACCTGTATATTTCGCACTTTACAGGTTACATTACAGTAGTGGGAGGTACAGTAAGTGCAGTAGGTATAGAGTGTATGTATATTTTATTTATATAGCACTAACAGGTGTACTCAGCACTTTACAGGTTACATTACAGTAGAAGGAGGTACAGTAAGTGCACTAGGTATACAGTGTATGTATATTTTATTTATATAGCGCTAACAGGTGTACTCAGCACTTTACAGGTTACATTACAGTAGAGGGAGGTACAGTAAGTGCAGTAGGTATACTGTGTATGTATATTATATTTATATAGCACTAACCTGTATATTTCGCACTTTACAGGTTACATTACAGTAGTGGGAGGTACAGTAAGTGCAGTAGGTATACAGTGTATGTATATTTTATTTATATAGCGCTAACAGGTGTACTCAGCACTTTACAGGTTACATTACAGTAGAGGGAGGTACAGTGAGTGCAGTAGGTATACAGTGTATGTATATTTTATTTATATAGCGCTAACAGGTGTACTCTGCATATTTTGGAGTATTTTATTGGGTCTTTCCCTAGTTGTAACTTGCATTGGTTAACTCCTAAACAGGTCAGAGAATGTAATTTGTAAAATAAGAATATTTTAATTTCTCTCCTGCTTCTCTGTGAAATGTTTGCTGTAGCATCTCATGTAAGTTTATCATTGCACAAAACAGAACACTTGTTACCAGCATCAGAGACAGTCTGTGGTTGTTGCCCCACTCTGCCCCATCCCACTGTGAGAACCAAGTCAAACTTTGTTTGTACTGCTAATCTTTATTTAATTGGAGGAATTTAGCGCGGGCCGTGCATGCATTTTTTTGCCCCTCAATGAAAAAGCACTGGCTTGGACAAGAAGAAGCATCTACGTGACATTGCGGGAATCTGTAGCAGAGAATCCACAGGTTGAACATGGTTGATACATAAGTGTAGGTTTATTAAAAACAGGGACACAAACCGAAAAATACAATATTTCAATCCATATATGTATACTATATATGACTAAGGCATATGGGCCAAAACTTATTTTTTTTATTCCTAAACCTATATAACCGACACTAATGTGCCTACACTGATCAACCTGTGGATTCTCTACTTTTGCTACAGTTTGGATGTAGAGGTCCTCCACCCCGTGGTACCAAACAAAGCATTGGACTTTACTATCATTACCCTAGAGTGCCACACCATAGTTTGTCACTGGACATAGATCGAGTAGATACAGAGGCTAGATCTCGGTGATGGGAAAAAAAACACGAGTAAAGCCATTTTCCCATTTCTTTTTAATTTGTTTTCGTACAGCCACATCATGGAGTGATAACACCAGGGGTAAAGTGGCTCCAGACGCTCTAACCCGGATGTGGGGCTTCTTGCTGGTGTCAGGGCTGGATGCTTTACCTGCTGTGCTGCTCATGCCAATCTCCACTGCTCATTCCAAACCAATGCCACCTCCCTCTGTACTGTTAAATATTGTGGGAAGTTTTTTTATTTCCCTTTCTTTAAATTATGTCTCATTACTAATGTTACTCATACAGTGATCTCTGTATTGTAATAAGTCCACTCTCGTATGTGTCCACTTGTCACTGCTGTGCGTTTTGTTATGGTAAAAAAAATGAAAGCACAAAGTGGGATATCTAGCCAATGAGATCATAGTCTACATCGACACAGAATTTCCAACCAATCCCATATTATTCTGGCTGGCAAAATATGGGCAGCGTTGGTCAATACACATCTTCACCAAAGGTGCAGACAAAGGGCCCTACAGTAGGTGCACTGGGCCAGCGAGAGAGCTCTTTAACTCCTTAAGGACACATGATGGAACTAGTACGTCATGATTCCCTTTTATTCCAAAAGTTGTGTCCTTAAAGGACCACTATAGTGCCAGGAAAACATACTCGTTTTCCTGGCACTATAGTGTCCTGAGGGTGCCCCCACCCTCAGGGACCCCCTCCAGCCCGGCTCTGGAAGGGGGAAAGGGGTAAAAACTTACCTTTTTCCAGCGCTGGGCGGGGAGCTCTCCTCCTCGATCCTCCTCTTCTCCTCCCCGTCGGCTGAATGCGCACGCGGCAAGAGCTGCGCGCGCATTCAGCCGGTCGCATAGGAAAGCATTTACAATGCTTTCCTATGGACGCTGGCGTGCTCTCACTGTGAAAATCACGGTGAGAAGCACGCAAGCGCCTCTAGTGGCTGTCAATGAGACAGCCACTAGAGGATTAGGGGGAAGGCTTAACCCATTAATAAACATAGCAGTTTCTCTGAAACTGCTATGTTTATAAAAAAAATGGGTTAACCCTAGAAGGACTTGGCACCCAGACCACTTCATTAAGCTGAAGTGGTCTGGGTGCCTAGAGTGGTCCTTTAAGGGGTTAATCTCGCTCTTTCCTCTTTCCTCTCTCCCTTTCGCTTTCTCTATTTCTCCCTCTCTTCCTTTGTCTCTCTCCCCCGGTTTCTCCCTCTCTTCCTTTGTCTCTCTCCCCCGGTTTCTCCCTCTCTTCCTTTGTCTCTCTCCCCTTGTTTCTCCCTCTCTTCCTTTGTCTCTCTCCCCTTGTTTCTCCCTCTCTTCCTTTGTCTCTCTCCCCTTGTTTCTCCCTCTCTTCCCTCTCTTTCTCTCTCTGTTTCTCCCTCTCTTCCTTTGTCTCTCTCCCCGTTTCTCCCTCTCTGCCTTTGTCTCTCTCCCCGTTTCTCCCTCTCTTCCTTTGTCTCTCTCCCCATTTCTCCCTCTCTTCCTTTGTCTCTCTCCCCATTTCTCCCTCTCTTCCTTTGTCTCTCTCCCCGTTTCTCCCTCTCTTCCTTTGTCTCTCTCCCCTTGTTTCTCCCTCTCTTTCTTTGTCTCTCTCCCCGTTTCTCCCTCTCTTTCTTTGTCTCTCTCCCCGTTTCTCCCTCTCTTTCTTTGTCTCTCTCCCCCTTTCTCCCTCTCTTTCTTTGTCTCTCTCCCCCTTTCTCCCTCTCTTTCTTTGTCTCTCTCCCCTCTTTCTCCCTCTCTGCCTTTGTCTCTCTTCCTCATTTCTCTCTCTCTCTTTCTTTGTCTCTTCCCCAATTTCTCCCTCTCTGCCTTTCTCTCTCCCCGGTTTCTCCCTCTCTTTTCTTTCTCTCTCCCCCTGTTTCTCCCTCTCTTTTCTTTCTCTCTCCCCCTGTTTCTCCCTCTCTTTTCTTTCTCTCATTCTCTCACATTTTCATACAGGCATGATCTTGGTCAGACTGTAATAACACCGATATAGTACCACTGACTTCTCATATTACGTTTTAAATTAAAAAGGAATTATCTTGCATGGCAAAGCTCTGTTACACTGTTTTTGTGTTTTACTCGTGTCTTTATAATCTAATGCCATGTTTGTGTTGTGTTTACAATTACTGGTGTAATAGTTTTTCTAACTCTCCATTGAGGAGAACCGTCACACAGATCATAAGTTCTGTTCTTTGGCCTTAAAAACCCTTTTTTTAAATTGTTTATTTTTTGTCAGAATTACTCTTATTACTACAATTATCATTACTCCCTACAGGGGGAAGGGAAGAGTGAAGGTGGGAAATATATAAAGCCGTCGAGTGCAGAAGCTCTCAGAATATGGAAAATCTATTGATGAACAGATCCCAGTCTAAAATGGAGGCGCAAGTTGAAATCCACTATTTTGCTTCTGGGGACACCAGTTCAGATACAATCGGCAATATTCTAACCACAGTGGGGATTCTGTACTCGTCTGCCGACTGAGAAACTGAATAACTCCACAACTATCGGGAACATCTGGCAACTGTTAAATAATTTGTGCTTCTTCTTCAACTCGCAGTGGTGACTAAAGAAATCAAAACCAGTACGTACGTACAGGGTAAAAGCATTGGAAGAAGGCCTCCTCTGTGACCCAACAATGGGCTGATACGACCGACAAGCAGCGACAGGCCTCACACTCCACAATGGCGATCCAATAAAATACCTTGGATGGAGTCCAGTGGAAAAACATCAAAATAAGAGGCAGAAAAAAAACCAAGCTAAAATAGAGGACTCCCCCCGTTTTATCACACGCTCCTGGCACCATTACGTTCACAACAACACACTAAGAGTCATCACAATGGATGTTAATGGCTTTCCATATCAGAAGATGTCTATAGCATCACCTAGCCATGTCATGCCGCGGTTTTGGTTGCTTGGTGACAGGGTTGCAGTGATGGCGACAGTACTAGACCAGGTCCCCCTCAAATCTGCCACTTGTCGTCTTTCATTCCTCATAGCTAGCTTGGAGATAATCTTTCATTATTTTATTATATTTTAAGCAACCTTCGATCTCATGCCCAACCCCTCAGGGTTAATGAATAACTTTAACTTAGCATCTGTTTATCTGATAAATATCGATACCATTCTTATGAGAACAATAGCATTCTATCAAAACCATTTAGAAACCATCTATACAACATACCATTATTCCACTTCTAGGCACTCTTCTGGAAGGTGCACAAAGCTATTATTTGGGGAGAGTTCTGTTACTTACTGAATGTATGGCAATCGTCATGTTAAATATATCTGCCCTCGGTTCTTTAAATGTTCTCACTGTGCAATATATCAAAATGGGGGTTGCTTACCATACTACTAGTACTTTCTGATATGGTGAAGGAAGTAAAGAAAAGGAGTAAAATATAAAATAATAGACTTAAAAATTTTTTTTTTTTAAAAATTCTAAATATATTATATATGTGTTTTACCGACCCTACATATTTATATTATTTTTACTAGGAGGAAGAAACAGTTCTGATACATTCTGTGCAAAATAATAGTTACACAAAATACATCAAATTTAATTTTCATCTACAGGGCTTTCAAAAAATATACAAAATAAGGCTTTTTTTTGTCCTGAATATTATAGCAATGTCAGATTAACATTTCCTTTTTGTTTGTTTTCCTATCTGCATATAACACTATCTACTGACTATATGTTTGATTATTTAATATTTTTCCCCAAACGGGTTTGTTGCTTCACTGATCTGTGAAATGTATTATATTTAAATCTGAGTGACAATGTTTAGGCTAAAACACTGAAGCGGAGTTGGGGATTTTCCCAGATCCGTTGTTTTAGATCCTGGTTTTGCCATTAAGATTCCAATATCATTAATCTAGAGTGAGTACATCCTATAGCGTTATAATCTGTCTGTCTGCACCGTGTGTGACCCCAGTGACCTGCGTCGTCCTTTTATTCCAAACTCACACCGTACCCTGTAATTCTCACAGATATGTGCTAGATACACACAGGTGCAGAGCGCACACTGCAATAGGAGCTGGAATGGGATGTGTGCACTCCCTGTCACTGATACGTCTGTCTTGTTGCCTAGTCACATCTAATAACAAGGCAATAAGCTGTTACAATATGGATTGGCCTCAAATTGCCCCAAACTTTGTTATGCGACTACAGCTCTCTGTAAACTCCATATACAGGACTAGATAAATATATTGTATAGAGGGGGATAATCAGACCTGGACAGATAGATATAAACATTGATAGATCCAGACATTAATAGATAGAAAGATAGACAGAAAGATAGACAGATGGATAGGTGGATAGATGGGTGGGTAAGTAGGCAGGTGGATAGGTAAGTAGGTAGGTAGATGGATAGGTGGGTGGATAGGTAAGTAGGTGGGTGGGTGGATAGAGAGATACATGGGTAGGTAAGTAGGTAGGTGGTTAGATAGATGGGTAGGTAAGTAGGTAGGTGGTTAGATAGATGGGTAGGTAGGTGGTTAGATAGATGGGTAGGTAGGTGGTTAGATGGGTAGGTAAGTAGGTAGGTGGTTAGATGGGTAGGTAGGTGGTTAGATACATGGGTAGGTAAGTAGGTAGGTGGTTAGATAGGTGGGTAGGTAAGTAGGTAGGTGGTTAGATAGGTGGGTAGGTAAGTAGGTAGGTGGTTAGATAGGTGGGTAGGTAAGTAGGCAAGTGGATAATGGATGGGTGGGTAGGAGGATAGATGGATGGGAGGTTAGATGAATCCTCCCGCGGCTGTTTACTCTCTGGATTGCGCCCGACTAGCTGTAACTATAGCTCTATAACTGGATCTCACATGATCAGATTCTCCTGATTTTTCATACAAAACACTTTTTGTTCTCGGAGTAATGGTTTGCTGTTATAATTTGAGGTTTTGAACAGACTTTCTTTATCAGTTAATGAGAAATTAGATTTGTACATCACAAGACAGGCCCATATCAGGGGGTCCCAGGAGGGGGGTAGGGGTGGTTAACATGTTGCAATGACAAGCCAGGTGTGAGGACATCCCCATTCTTCTATGACCTTTAACTAATTGAGAGTGATGCTGAATGTAATGATAAACTATTAAATCAACTATTTTTGTCATTTTTTATTCTCAAAGGAAAAAAATATATAATTTACGTGAATTCTGTTCTTTTATCATATGACTCCATGCAGCATATTAATTCATACAGTCTGTATATCATTTACATGTTACATAGACAGGATTCCTCTGACCAGGAACCGGATAGTTTGTATTTCACCTAAAAGCTGTGCCAGTAGGACAGTTGGTGGTCCCTTGTTGGATCAGAGTTAATGGGGGTCTGGGGGCAGTTGGTGGTCCCTTGTTGGATCAGAGTTAGTGGGGGGCTTGGGCAGTTGGTGGTTCCTTATTGGATCAGCGTTAGTGGGGGGCTGGGGCAGTTGGTGGTCCCTTGTTGAATCAAAGTTAGTGGGGTGCTGGAAGTAGTTGGTAGTTCCTTGTTGGATCAGAGGTAGTGAGGGGCTGGGGACAGTTGGTGGCTACTTGTTGGATCAGAGGTAGTGGGGGCTGGGGGCAGTTGGTGGTCCCTTGTTGGATCAGAGTTAGTGGAGGTGGTGGGGGCAGTTGGTGGTCCCTTGTTGGATCGGTTACTGGGGGGGCTGGGGGCAGTTGGTGGTTCCTTGTTGGATCAGAGTTAGTGAGGGGCTAGGGGCAGTTGGTGGTTACTTGTTGGATCAGAGTTAGTGAGGGGCTGGGGGCAGTTGGTGGTCCTTGTTGGATCAGTTACTGGGGGGCTGGGGGCAGTTGGTGGTTACTTGTTGGATCAGAGGTAGTGAGGGGCTGGGGGCAGTTGGTGGTCCCTTGTTGGATCAGAGTTAGTGAGGGGCTGGGGCAGTTGGTGGTCCTTGTTGGATCGGCGGTTACTGGGGGGCTGGGGGCAGTTGGTGGTTTACTTGTTGGATCAGAGTTAAGTGAGGGCTGGGGCAGTTGGTGGTTACTTGTTGGATCAGAGTTAGTGAGGGGCTGGGGGCAGTTGGTGTTGGTTACTTGTTGGATCCAGAGTTAGTGGGGGGCTGAGGGGCAGTTGGTGGTCCTTGGATCAGGGGATTGAGTAGTAGGGGCAGTTGGTGTTGGTCCCTTGTTGGATCAGAGTTAGTGAGGGCAAGGGGCAGTTGGTGGTTACTTGTTGGATCAGAGTTAGCTGAGGGGGCTGGGGGCAGTTGGTGTTTACTTGTTGGATCCAGGGGTTAGTGAGGGCTGGGGCAGTTGGTGGTCCCTTGTTGGATCAGAGTTAGTGAGGGCTGGGGGCAGTTGGTGGTTACTTGTTGGATCAGAGTTAGTGAGGGGCTGGGGGCAGTTGGTGGTTACTTGTTGGATCAGGGATAGTGAGGGCTGGGGGCAGTTGGTGGTTACTTGTTGGATGGCGGAGTTGGTGAGGGCTGGGGGCAGTTGGTGAGGTCCCCTTGTTGGATCAGAGTTAGTGAGGGGCTGGGGCAGTTGGTTGCTTACTTGTTGGATCAGAGTTGGTGGGGGCTAGGGGCAGTTGGTGGTCCCTTGTTGGATCAGAGTTGAGTGAGGGGGCTTGGGGCAGTTGGTGGTTGCCTTGTTGGATCAGAGTTGAGTGGGGGGCTGGGGGCAGTTGGTGGTTACTTGTTGGATCAGAGTTAGTGAGGGGCTGGAGGCAGTTGGTGGTTACTTGTTGGATCAGAGGTAGTGGGGGGGCTGGGGGCAGTTGGTGGTCCTTTGTTGGATCAGTTACTGGGGGGGCTGGGGGCAGTTGGTGGTTACTTGTTGGATCAGAGTTAGCGGGGGGCTGGGGGCAGTTGGTGGTTACTTGTTGGATCAGGTTAGTTGAGGGGCTGGGGGCAGTTGGTGGTTCCTTGTTGGATCAGAGTTAGTGAGGGGCTGGGGCAGTTGGTGGTTACCTGTTGGATCAGAGTTAGTGAGGGGCTGGGGGCAGTTGGTGGTTCCTTGTTGGATCAGAGTTAGTGAGGGGCTAGGGGCAGTTGGCGGTTCCTTGTTGGATCAGAGTTAGTGAGGGGCTGGGGGCAGTTGGTGGTTCCTTGTTGGATCAGTTAGTGAGGGGCTGGGGCAGTTGGTGGTCACTTGTTGGATCAGAGTTAGTGAGGGGCTGGGGGCAGTTGGTGGTTCCTTGTTGGATCAGAGTTAGTGAGGGGCTGGGGCAGTTGGTGGTCCCTTGTTGGATCAGAGTTAGTGAGGGTCTGGGGGCAGTTGGTGGCCCCTTGTTTCAGCAGTACGTGGGCGGTTGGTGTTCTCCTGTGCGAGGGGAGGTAAGTAGTCGGTGTTCGGGATGTCAGTGGAATTCTCTCTAGTTTGATACTTTGTAACAATCAAAATATCTGTATCTCCATCTCTCTGTGTATCTATAGATTTATCTCTCTCTCTCTCTGTATCTATAGATGTCTCTCTCTCTCTCTCTCTGTATCTATAGATGTCTCTCCCTCTCTCTGTATCTATAGATGTCTCTCTCTCTCTCTCTGTATCTATAGATGTCTCTATCTCTCTCTCTGTATCTATAGATGTCTCTCTCTCTCTCTCTCTCTGTATCTATAGATGTCTCTCTCTCTCTCTCTCTCTGTATCTATAGATGTCTCTCTCTCTCTCTCTCTGTATCTATAGATGTTTCTCTCTCTCTCTGTATCTATAGATGTCTCTATCTCTCTCTGTATCTATAGATCTCTCTCTCTCTCTGTATCTATAGATGTCTCTCTCTATCTCTCTATCTCTCTCTCTGTATCTATAGATGTCTCTTTCTCTCTCTCTCTGTATCTATAGATGTCTCTCTCTCTCCCTCTCTCTCTGTATCTCATAATATCTCTGTCAGATCGCACTCAGCCTGTGTCCCCCATCATGGACTCACCTCCTGCTCTCCCTGGGACCGACCCTCCTCTCTCTGCTCCCTCTGTCCGGACAATGAGCCCCATTCAGACGTGGCCGCGGGTGTCAGGAGGAGGAGGGCGGGGGCTCCCTGGTCTGCCCGTCCCATCAGAGGGGTCCCGGGCACTCACAGGGGGCAGAGTCTGGTCTACAACATCTCCAAACTGGGTATCACCTGCTCCAGCATCCTCACACTGCGATGGAGACACAGGGACAGATTGACTGGGACACAGGGACAGACATAGGGACAGGGGGACATAGGGACAGGTAGATACAAGGACAGACATAGGGACAGGGGGACACAGGGACAGGTAGATACAAGGACAGACATGGGGACAGGGGGACATAGGGACAGGTAGATACAAGGACAGACATAGGGACAGGGGGACATAGGAACAGGTAGATACAAGGACAGACATAGGGACAGGTAGATACAAGGACAGACATAGGGACAGGGGGATACAGAGACAGACAGAGGGACAGTGGGACAAGGGGACAGGGACAGAAAGATAAAGGAACAGACTGGCACGGTGACAGGGATAAGCAGACTCAGTGACAGACAGAAATAGTGACCCAGGCGGACTGGATAAGTGACACACACTAAAGATCGGACAAAGAGGGACAGACAAACTTTGGGAAATAGGACAATAGACAGTCTCATACATGCATGAGAGGAGGTTTGTACAGCATTAGACATGCACAAAACAGGACAAGAACCTATCTGAAACTCATGGGATTTACCCTCCACAGTGTCTTGTATGAAGGTATAACTAACTCATAATGTGTAAGTATGCCCAACTGATGATTATAGTACATTCACACCGAGTACCTCTAACTAATGTTTATAGTACATTCACACTAAGTACCTCTAATGTTTATAGTACATTCACACAAGTACCTCTAACTAATGTTTATAGTACATTCACACTAAGTACCTCTAACTAATGTTTATAGTACATTCACACCAAGTACCCCTAACTAATGTTTATAGTACATTCACACCAAGTACCTCTAACTAATGTTTATAGTACATTCACACTAAGTACCCCTAACTAATGATTATAGTACATTCACACTAAGCACCCCTCACTAATGTTTATAGTACATTCACACTAAGTACCTCTAACTAATGTTTATAGTACATTCACACCGAAAACCCCTAACTAATGTTTATAGTACATTCAAACTAAGTACCCCTAACTAATGTTTATAGTACATTCACACTAAGTACCCCTAACTAATGTTTATAGTACATTCACACAAGTACCCCTAACTACTGTTTATAGTATATTCACACTAAGTACCTCTAACTAATGTTTATAGTACATTCACACTAAGTACCTCTAACTAATGTTTATAGTATATTCACACTAAGTACCCCTAACTAATGTTTATAGTATATTCACACTAAGTACCCCTAACTAATGTTTATAGTACATTCACACTAAGTACCTCTATCTAATGTTTATAGTACATTCACACTAAGTACCTCTAACTAATGTTTATAGTACATTCACACTAAGTACCTCTAACTAATGTTTATAGTATAGTACTCATACTAAGTACCCTAACTAATGATTATAGTACATTCACACTAAGTACCTCTAACTATATGTTTATAGTACATTCACACTAAGTACCTCTAACTAATGTTTATAGTACATTCACACTAAGTACCTCTAACTAATGTTTATAGTACATTCACACTAAGTACCCCTAACTAATGTTTATAGTATATTCACACTAAGTACCCCTAACTAATGTTTATATACATATCCACACTAAGTACCCCTAACTAATGTTTATAGTACATTCACACCAAGTACCTCACACACTAAGTACCTCTAATGTTTATAGTACATTCACACTAAGTACCTCTAACTAATGTTTATAGTACATTCACACTAAGTACCCCTAACTATAGTACATTCACACTAAGCACCCCTAACTAATGTTTATAGTACATTCACACTAAGTACCTCTAACTAATGTTTATAGTACATTCACACTAAGTACCTCTAACTAATGTTTATAGTACATTCACACTAAGTACCTCTAACTAATGTTTATAGTATATTCACACTAAGTACCCCTAACTAATGTTTATAGTACATTCACACTAAGTACCTCTAACTAATGTTTATAGTATATTCACACTAAGTACCTCTAACTAATGTTTATAGTACATTCACACTAAGTACCCCTAACTAATGTTTATAGTACATTCACACAGAGTACCCCTATCTAATGATTATAGTACATTCACACTAAGTACCTCTAACTAATGTTTATAGTACATTCACACTAAGTACCTCTAACTAATGTTTATAGTACATTCACACTAAGTACCTCTAACTAATGTTTATAGTACATTCACACCGAGTACCCCTAACTAATGTTTATAGTACATTCAAACTAAGTACCCCTAACTAATGTTTATAGTACATTCACACAGAGTACCCCTAACTAATGTTTATAGTATATTCACACTAAGTACCTCTAACTAATGTTTATAGTATATTCACACTAAGTACCTCTAACTAATGTTTATAGTATATTCACACTAAGTACCTCTAACTAATGTTTATAGTATATTCACACTAAGTACCCCTAACTAATGTTTATAGTATATTCACACTAAGTACCCCTAACTAATGTTTATAGTACATTCACACTAAGTACCCCTATCTAATGATTATAGTACATTCACACTAAGTACCCCTAACTAATGTTTATAGTACATTCACACTAAGTACCCCTAACTAATGTTTATAGTACATTCACACAGAGTACCCCTAACTAATGTTTATAGTATATTCACACTAAGTACCTCTAACTAATGTTTATAGTATATTCACACTAAGTACCCCTAACTAATGATTATAGTACATTCACACTAAGTACCCCTAACTAATGATTATAGTACATTCACACTAAGTACCCTAACTAATGTTTATAGTACATTCACACTAAGTACCTCTAATGTGTTTATAGTACATTCACACTAAGTACCCCTATCTAATGAGTATAGTACATTCACACTAAGTACCCCTAACTAATGTTTATAGTACATTCACACTAAGTACCCCTAACTAATGTTTATAGTACATTCACACTACCTAACTAATGTTTATAGTACACACTAAGTACCTCTAACTAATGTTTATAGTATATTCACACTAAGTACCCCTAACTAATGATTATAGTACATTCACACTAAGTACCCCTAACTAATGATTATAGTACATTCACACTAAGTACCTCTAACTAATGTTTATAGTACATTCACACTAAGTACCTCTAATGTTTATAGTACATTCACACTAAGTACCTCTAACTAATGTTTATAGTACATTCACACTAAGTACCCCTAACGAATGTTTATAGTACATTCACACTAAGTACCTCTAACTAATGTTTATAGTACATTCACACTAAGTACCTCTAACTAATGTTTATAGTACATTCACACTAAGTACCCCTAACTAATGTTTATAGTATATTCACACTAAGTACCCCTAACTAATGTTTATAGTATATTCACACTAAGTACCCCTAACTAATGTTTATAGTACATTCACACTAAGTACCCCCAACTAATGTTTATAGTACATTCACACCAAGTACCTCTAACTAATGTTTATAGTACATTCACACTAAGTACCCCTAACTAATGATTATAGTACATTCACACTAAGCACCCCTCACTAATGTTTATAGTACATTCACACTAAGTACCTCTAACTAATGTTTATAGTACATTCACACTAAGTACCCCTAACTAATGTTTATAGTACATTCACACTAAGTACCCCTAACTAATGATTATAGTACATTCACACTAAGTACCTCTAACTAATGTTTATAGTACATTCACACTAAGTACCTCTATCTAATGATTATAGTACATTCACACTAAGTACCCCTAACTAATGTTTATAGTACATTCACACTAAGTACCCCTAACTAATGTTTATAGTACATTCACACTAAGTACCCCTAACTAATGTTTATAGTACCCCCACACTAAGTTCCCCTAGCTACAGTTATAGTACATTAACTTTCTCTCTGCATCGATTGATAATATATTAGGACACCTGGTATTCTTGGAGATGTGGCTAGAAGCCGTGTGTGTGTGTGTGTTCTGTGACATTTTAATGGAACCGTTAAGTTGTAAAGAAAAAGAGCTTTAACCTACATATTTTAACTTTCAGTACCTTGGAGCAGCCGATAATGACAAAAGGACTAATTATTACCAGACTTTCTCATCAGCCCTGTTCACATTATGTAACTCATATAATGATCTTCCAACCACACATGATCTGTACAGTTTATAAAGGCACCATAACCACTACAGTGCAATGTATAATGCTTGCTTGTGTCTGGCGCCAGCAGTCATTGTGGAGTTGCTGCCATGATTTTATCACAGCCACACCGCTGACTAAAAGTTTTCTACGGGTTGTGCTATTTATTTATTTTTTCAGTTTTTTATTTTTTTAATTCTTTATAGATTTTAATTGATCTGCTTTGTGGGACAATTAGCTAACCCGCATGGTGCCACAGGCATAGTATACTGTGTGCCCATGTATATAGCCCTGCTGGAGAAAATACAGAGTGGGCATGCGTTCATACGCAATATCCCTCGTAACGCCCACGTTTATGTGAACCTCTAGCATCATGGGGCTGCAACCTTGCTTTAGGCAGGACAGGCCTGATTTCAGGGTCCTGTCCTGATCTAATTTCCTGGTGGCCCAAATTTGCGTTTTTTGCGTGGTCCCTGTAGGATGTGGTGCACTAGCCCTGCATGCTTAATGCCGGGAGGACACGCTCCCTTCAGTGGTTGGGTTCGCTCATTATGGGTGTGAAGGTGAAGGCACCCACCCATCCTGATTTTAAACCTCCCAATATTGGGAGTTATGAGCTAGGGGAAGTCTAATTGTACAAGCTAATTCTTTCCGTAGGAATGGTGCGGCCCTCGAGAAGTCATGTAGATGAGAATAAGCACTATGGGAACAAAGAGAGGACAAGAGAAGGTCCTTTAAAGTGCAAAGGGAACAAGAAGGGGTTTACATGCTATTTACATAGGACATATTATACGGCCACCCCTTAGTAGTTTGAATTGGATTCTGAAGGGTGTGGGCTGCCCGTGTAAGGACTGGCAGAGGGGCAATGTGTGTGTGTTACAATAGTGAAAGCATGGAATAAGTGTTTAACAGGTTTACCTTATAGTGGGATGTATAGTGTCTAATGCAGAGAACATGTGAAATATATCTTAACCCCTTAAGGATCAAACTTCAGGAATAAAAGGGAATCATGACATGTGTCCTTAAGGGGTTAAAGGTGTAAGAGAGGGCTGAATGTGAAGGGAAGGCAGCCAGCTTATAGGGTTGGGGTAATGATTGTGAGATTGTTGGAGGGTACGTTGTATTCAAGTCTGCATAGATAAGGAGTTCATTTTTAAATAGACTGAGTTTTAGGAAACGTGCAGTCACGATAGAAGGGGCCATTAGTGACACGTTCCAGGTGAGAGATCGGGGGAGGAGAGGTAAACCACAACCTATGTATAGCTGCTAATTGAACGCAAAGGAATTAACTCCAGCATGGATAGGTATGAGTTAAAGGACCAACATCGACGGTACCCCTAAACCACATTTATAACCCAAATCTTGCATTGTAAGGCTTTCCATTAAAAAAGCACGTCATTTAAAGATAAACAGTAAAATTACTTTTAAAATACCCATTATTCTTAAATGACAAAAAAGTAGAATTTAGTTCTTCAAATACATGTGATTTTTATCCCATCTGTGAGGTGCCTGTGCGTCTCATTCTCGGGGATACCACTTCCAACTAAGAGACACTTAAGGGGTTAATTCCCTAAACTGGGAATTGTAGAGAACTGACGAGCAATGTAAGTTTTAGGTAAAAAAAAATATTGAACAATCTCAAACTCTGTTATTTTCCCGCCTTGGTTATTTGTTGTTCTGTTATTTCCCTGTCAAGTCTTCCCAATTCTTAGTTTCAAAAATACAGCCTGGGTTACACTTTGACTTTGCCTCCTGATGGCGTGATTGACGGGGAGTGTTGCCATGTGCCGCTCTGCCGGTAATATTACACAGGATATTTACTAACCATAATTCCTGTATTAATATATCATCAATGAAAGTTGGACGGGTTATTTTTACTAACCACGTTGGCCTGATGAGCAGTAAGTGTACTATACAGTGCTTACTCAATAGGGCAATCACGGTTTACAATAACCTGGCGTTATCCCAGCCATATCACCTTACTGTACTCCCTGCTCATTCATCAGAGCATTACTCACACAAAAGAATCTAATGAAAGTTGCAAACAATAAAGCGGCTCAGAGTTGGAACATTTTATTCATTTAGTACTTTAGAAATATGCAGAAAATTCCTTTTTTTTAAAACAATGAAAATGAGAACAAGGCTTGGAACTCGAGGTACCAGTGATCATCAATCTTTGTTCTTTTCTAAGGGGTCTGATCGGACCCCACAATCCGCTGTCCAGCATAGGTTTATGGAAATACATAGTGTAATTGAGCGCAACAGTCCCAATCGTCAGATCTGATGAGTGAAACTGCTTTATAAGATGGCAGCCATACTGCGGCTGTATAATTAATCTACAAATATGTCTGTGAAAAAAAAATTATTCATAAACGTTATGTTCTTCTAATGTTCAAATTATAATAATGATGAGGTTGTTTTTCCTTCTTCATACTATACTGTCTGCAGGGTTCTAGAACCCAATGCACAACATGAGTGTGTCTGATACTCTCGCACTGTGCTGCCTGGTGTCTCCGGTCCCAGGACGCAATAAAACTAAATCGGCACCACAAGATAGGACCCTGAAATTGGGACTGTCCCACTAAAAGCGCGTGGTACGGTAAAGTGTTGGGTAGACCTCAACCATTGATTAAAATATCATGTGGCAAATAAACAACCAGCTCTCCCTGCCCAAACTGGCTGTGCCAGGTAAGGAGGGGACGCCTCAGTTTTAAATACTATACCTACCACAACCACCTTCTGTAACCGTGTACTCTTCTCAATTGATATTTCATCTCTGCAATGTTGTTATAGTAACTCTTTTAGGAATAGTGTCTCCATCACAGATACAGTAATAAAGTTTTCCATATTATATCCTGTCTTTTTATTCATTATCCACAAATGCAACTGATACGGCATAAAAATACAGATATGTCAGAACTTTAGGGACTTCATTATTAGTAATTGTTGGCACCAACTCAGTATACACTTCCCATAATATTAAACCGTGGGTGTAGTGTCTAACTAACCCAGTACGGATTCTGTGGCCGTTACTGTGAGGGAATGAGCAATGACCAGCTCCAGTTTCAATTAAACGTCTATTGTGTTCCAATGCCATTGTTGAAGCTCTCCATGTAATTTCTGTGAGGGTAACATGACCAGCTGCTGTGATTGTCATGTCACATAGTGTAAGTGACAGAACGATTCACGGTATTAACTCAGGGCTATGGAAATCCCCAGCCTTTCAGCTTGTCACTCAGTTTGCCATAAACTGCCATAAAGAGCTTCCTTAGGTGTGAATGCACTCTGTGTATGTCTCAAGAATCTACCATTACTTAATATGCCTATTTAAAATGAAACTTATTTTTTTAATGTATTTATTGGAACAGTCACTTTTCACGTCACACATACATTATAATTATAATATAGTGCTTGATTTTTTTTTATTATTTATTTTACGAGGAAGTGTCGTTTTTATGTATAAAATAGTTATTAAATTTCCTCCCCACTCCCTTTTGTCCATCGATTTTTAGCATAGTGTAACGACTCCTGGTGGTGATCTTGCAATATTGCGCAATAATTGAAAGGGGACATTAGTTTCAGCGGTAAATAAAATTACTTTATCACTCTTGGCATAGACTGTGACACTTGAACCCAGACACAATGGAATTAACGTGATTAAAATACCTGAACACTTGTAAGACCTCCCAGAATACTGGAGTGATTTGCACAAATCGGTAGAATCAATGTCTTGTAAGATTAACTGGAAGGGTAGAGCAGTAGAATCCTTCCCCTATTTGATTTTTTGCTATTTTGTCGCAACTATTTCCATATTTTTGCGACAATATGTGAATATAAACCTAGAAAAATTCCCTTCGTTTATTTTTCCTCAACCAGAGACAAACACAATGCCTGTTACATTGCAGTATCGCTAATTGATCTCCAGTCTCCGTCTGTTGCAGTTATGTTCTCATCATAAACTTTCTAAATCATTAAAGTACATCATTTATTTGTACGATATTTGATATATTTTAAGCTTAATGTAAATTTTTTTTAATCGAATTGGTATTTGCCTTTTTTTAGTTTGTTATTTTTTTAAATTCCTTATGCATAGTGTGTTTTACAGGTTTTTTTATATAAATTTTTTTAATGGATATAAAGAAATATAACAAATTAAATAATCAAATACAATAATGGTAGAACAGTATTGTTTATTAAGAATCGAATAAGATTTTATTGTATTCGTATGCAAATAAAAAAAGTCGTCTTTTTCCCTGTTTTTGTATTTGTAACACACATTCTGAAAAAAAAAAATCAACTTAAAAAAAAGTCTTTTTTTTGTATAATTTTTATTTATGGTCATAATACTTTTACTAGCACTGGTAGTTTTTTTTTAATTTATTTATTTTAATTCTTTATTTATGCAGTGCAGATAGTTACAAACAGGCCTGCCATACCCCAACAGCATAAACAAGCTTCAGAGATCACAAAGTAGAACAAGTGTGTGGCATGCGATAGTAGTGCACCATTTAAAAAAATGTTTTAATCAGTTTAGAAACAAATAATAGGCACATATAGCAAACATGTCAAATGGTTGAACTGAAAGATTAGGTAGAGAGATGTAAATACACGAGAGGAAATCATCAGCATTAAGAAATGACTGGTTCTCCTAACATTATATTGGTATAGTACCATGTATGTTAAAGCTTAGGCTGCGATTAGGCATTGCAAAAGGAGAGAAAAAAAAAACATGCTTAAGGCAAACAAGAGATTTAACTATTCAAGAGCTGGAGCGGCTCAGACATCATTGGGGTGTCGGCAAGACATGGGAGAGTCCCAGAACACATGGAGTAGCCAGCACACATGTAGCCGATGCCCAATCAGGGAACCATTCGTCGTGTGTGTGAGTAAAGATGCTTATGAGGTCCCGTCATGGAGTCAGAGTCTGCCACTGTCCGGCACTGATGCTGTCCGTTGTGACAGCCTGGGCTTCTGTCAGAGCTCGCACACGCGGCCCCCCACTGCCGATAGGATGAGAGCAGGGATCCCCATTCCTGCAGAGGGATTTAGATAGACTGGGGGACTGGGCACTCAAATGGCAGATTAAATTTAATGTTGAAAAATGCAAAGTTATGCAGTTCGGCGTAAAGAATGCACAAGCAATGTTTTTTTTTGCCTTCTTTTGGATCAACAGCAAAAAACAATTGTGAGGAAAGCTGAACTTAATGGACACAAGTCTCTTTTCAGCTATGGAACTATGTAAACACGGTAAAGACCAAGATAATGTACTGAATTACTGGCCTATCTCATTATTAAATGTAGATATCAAAATGTATTCATCAGTCATAGTGGAAAGACTTTTTACCCTTTGTGATACATTTAGATCAAGTGGGATTTATCCCTGGAATATCAGTAAATAATATTAGGAGAATGATAGACATTCTAGATAAGGTCAAATTGGAGCAGAAGCCCTTGTTGACCTTGTGGTTAGATGCCGAAAAGGCCTTTGACAGGGTCAACTGGGCCTTTATGAAAGAAGCATTATTGGCTTTTGGCCTACGTGATGAGATAATGGATAAAATCATGGTAGTCTATTTTAACCCCTCGGCCAGGGTAGTGGGGCATGGTTTCAAGTATGCTTGGTTTCATCTTAGGAACGGAGTAACACAGGGTTGTCCCCTTTCACCTCTTTTATTTTTTGTATCAGTTGCGCCTTTAGCAGTTTCTATCCGTTGTAATTAAAATATAGGAGGCTTTGAGAATAAAGAGGAAAACATTACAATCAACTTATGTGCCGATGATACTATTCTTACGTTACAAGATCCCTTTAAATCCATGGAAGAATCAATGAAAGAGATTAGAAAGTTTCCCTTTGTTCTGGCTATAAATTAAACATGGAAAAGTCCTTGCAAGTAATATATCCTCTGATATTAAACAATTTTTGAGTAGTAAATATGGTTTCATTTGGGCTGACCACTATATCAACTATCTGGGCATTAAGATTTGTACAGACCCTAAGAATATCGTAGAAATAAACTTTCTACCAATACGGACTCAAACGAATAAACAACTGAAAGAATGGAAACCACTAGGTTTTTCATCGTGGGGCAGAATAAATATTATTAAAACTTATATGCTGCCAAAATGGTCCTATTTGTTTCACTCATACATACATACATACATACATACATACATACATACATACATACATACATACATACACACACAGACGGGGACACACACACACACTCATACAGACCTATACACATACATACAGACTTATACACACACACATACCTTTCCCTAGGGTCCAGTGGTGGCTCAGGCTGATGGGAGTCAGAGTTTACACTCTGACTCCCTCTCCTTCCTCACGCGCGGCTCCCTCTGACATATCAGAGGGGGCCCGGTTGCGCTGTGAAAGCACTGACTTGGCCCCCCTGGAATTACATAGCATCGGATGGCCCTCACAGCATGGGCCACTCAACGGGGCTCCGGCTGTTACACCGCGCGGGCCAGGGCCGCATTACTCATCTGCCAGGACCTGCGGTCGCAGGGTACGCAGAGCGGCTGGGCCCCCGAAATGACTGACCCGGTCGCAGCTGCAACCCTTACGACCGCGGTAGCTCTGCCACTGCCTTCAGGATCCCACTCATATGGCTTAAAATTATTCAAACTTCAATTAATACATTTTTCTGGCAGGGGAAACCTCTCCGAATACAAATGAGCATGTTGGCCTTAAAAACGTCACAAGGAGGAGTAGGTAGTCCAGAAGTAGAACAATACCATTGGGCCAGTTTAATATCACAACCCATTGCAACCCAAAAAGAAGATTCGCAAAAAGAAAGTTGGTATGCTATTGAAAAAGAACTAACTGCCATACAAGATTTAGGTGCTATTTTTTGGTGTACCAACAATAGAGAAAATGTGGAGTTGGAAGGTTCATCAATAATTCAAATTTAAAAATTTGAAATTTATTTGGGATAAACTAAGGAAAAGTCTAAATATAAATAATAAAATATTATGGAATAGAGCTATAAAATACATAGGTATTAATAAACCTGATATAAATTAGAAAAAAATGGCCAGACTCAGGAATAACTAAAATAAATTATTTGTTCAATAATGAAGAAATACAGTCTTTTGAGTTATTTAGAGAAAATAACCTGCCTAACAAGGAGGGTTTTTTTTTTTCTTCTACCTAATGTAAGATTCAAGTATTTGAAAAAACATCTTCTTGTGAATAATTCTAAAATTCATAAGAATTTAGAAATTCTACTAGAATAAGCAGACATAAAATACCTGATATTAAAATGTGTAAACCTGAAGTATCATTTTTGGCTATTAAAAAGTGGGATAGAGATTTATCTATGGTAATCTCCCGTGAGAGTTGGTTGGGATCTTTTAGAAAGGTACAAAGAGCGATCCACTGTTTGAATTTGGTTTAAATCCACTATAATGTACCTAACCGATGGTACTTGGTGCCATCACGGATTATAAAGATGGTCCCTGAAAGAAGGGATAGGTGTTGGAGATGTGAGATATATAAGGGGGATTTTATGCACATTTGGTGGCAATGTGATCAATTCAAATATTTTGGAGGAACGTATGTAATAAAATCGAGACAATATGTAAATTCAAATTAAGATGTAGACCTGAGGTCTGTCTCCTGCATATAGATCCCCAAGAGTGGCCGATACAAATAAGACTTATAATTATTCATATCCTGGTAGCAGCTAAATTACCGTGTTTCTCCGAAAATAAGACCGGGTCTTATATTAATTTTAGTCCCAAAAAACACACTAGGGCTTATTTTCAGGGTAGGGCTTATTTATTTATGGTACCGGTATGTACATTGAACCCCCCTTTAATTAATCCACCCCCCTTTAATAAATCCACCCCCTCTAATTAATCCACCCCTCTAATTAATCCACCCCCTTTAATTAATCCACCCTCCTTTAATTAATCCACCCCCCCAATAAATCCACCCCCCCCAATAAATCCAGCCCCCTCTAATTAATCCACCCTCCTTTAATTAATCCACCCCTCCTTTAATTAATCCACCCCCCTTTAATTAATCCACCCCTCCTTTAATTAATCCACCCCTCCTTTAATTAATCCACCCCTCCTTTAATTAATCCACCCCCCTCTAATTAATCCACCCCCCTCTAATTAATCCACCCACTCTAATAAATCCACCCCTCCTTTAATAAATCCACCCCCTCTAATAAATCCACCCCCCGTTTAATTAATCCAACCCCCCTTAATTAATCCACCCCTTTTAATTAATCCACCCCCTCTAATTAATCCACCCCCTCTAATTAATCCACCCCTCCTTTAATTAATCCACCCCCCCTAATAAATCCACCCCCCCTAATAAATCCACCCCCTCTAATAAATCCACCCCCCGTTTAATTAATCCAACCCCCCTTTAATAAATCCACCCCCCTCTAATTAATCCAGCCCCCCCTTTAATTAATTCACCGCCCCCTTTAATTAATTCAGTCCCAGACATAAAATATCTACTCACAGATGCCTTCCTTGCCCGCCGAGTCCGACCACTGGGTGCCTCACCGCCCGGAAATGGATCCTTCCGCTGAAGATCCGTGAAGGCAGACTGACGACGCTGCGCACGTCGTCATCACGTTGCGCGATGCCGCGGCCTGCAACGCTCCTCCTCCTCCTCATAGAAGAAGGAAGTCCCGCCGGACCGAAAGGTACAATGCCTAGGTCTTATTTTCGGGGTAGGGCTTATATTGCAGCCCACCCCGAAAATTCAGCTAGGTCTTATTTTCGGGGTAGGGTGTATTTTCGGGGAAACACGGTAGTAATAGCTAGGCACTGGAGATCTTTATTAGCCCCCACTTGGCCCATGGCCATAAATCAAGTGCTATTCCTGCTCAAAAAGAGTTGGGAATTACTAATCCATTTAAAGCAGGTTTTAAAAGAAGAGATGATTGGGATAAATGGATTAAGAGAATAGAGGAAACTGAAGAAGGCCTTTGAGGGACTAGTAAACCATAAAGGAAAAGGCTGGTTTCCATCGCTGTGGGTATTGACTGGCCTTTTATTTATTTGCTTTTTCGCTTTGAGAATAAGAAGGAAGGGGCAATTGGAAGTTGGGAAGAATATTTGTTCCCTATGTTAATTAAGGCAGGATCCCTGACAGAGACACCTACAGAGATACTAAATGTTAATTCTTTTTGTAAAGCATTGTCTTAAGTTGATATAGGTTTTATATTCTGGTTTCATATGTACAGGTTTACGTATGACAGATTAAATGTCTGTAGCCAGACGGTTATTAATAATCTTTTGAAACAACCTGTATTTAAGTATAGACTGACCGGACCACAGTTTAATTATATATGTAATCTGAGTGTGCATAAAGGGTAGGCACAGCTATGTGCCGAGATTGTGTGTGTATTGTTTTGTCTTGTTTTTAAATGTTTCGCCTCTACGGACTCTGAAAGTGCTTCAATTGAGCTATACCTTTTTAGCTCCTAAAAGTGGGAGTGGGACCTTTTTTATATTTCTACCATACTTCTCATTATTACAGATTTGCACTATGTTTGTATTTTTCTGTTTATGTTTTTAGGAAATTCCTATAAAGGATTATTGTGAACTATATAAACAGAAGGTATTTTTTCAGTATTCTGGTGTTTATCACGGGGCATTATCTCTCCACTTTGGTAATCCATTTGTATATAGCGCTTCACCCATACACCGGTTTTTAAGTTACATCTGATTGAAAAGGAAACCATTTTCTTGCAGCCAGGGGAGCGCCAACGTATTCTGCAGCGCTTTACAATAGTATTAGGGGGAATTTAACAACAAATGAGACAATCTGTTCTAAATGTTGACCAGAACAATAGGTTAATGATGACCCTGCTCGAACACATGTACAATCTAGAGGGGTTGGGGTATAAATTCACAATAGGAAGGGCAGTGTGGGGGTGAGAACCAGGTCACAGGGTGGGGAAGTCTCAGAGTTTGGGGGTGAGAGTGGCCTCGCTCATTAAGTTAAGAGAGTTAGTAATAATCAACGTTATGTACAGGGTGTACATATAACTCAAAAGACCATGGATCCTCATCCCATCCCTCCCAAGTGTCTTTCTCCCTGTTTAGAAAGGACAATCCCTATTTTGGGCCAAAACCCACCGTCCCTCTCGTCTCCTTAATGTCCCTCCACAGCAATACTACTCCAAGTAATGTGTCTTTAAACTGCAGTAAATGTGTAATAAATAAAATCAGGGTGTAAATAAGATACATTGTTGTTCTAAGTGACATTTCAGTTGCATAAACTGTACTTGTAAGTCACCTAAAACTTTTCAGAACAGCCCTGGCCCTGGCCTCGTCCCTTGCCGTATCTCTAAAATTAAAGAAAGACACTCTTTGTCTATCTGAAATGCTGAGAGGTATGCTCATTCAGTGTCAGTTTTTTTGAGAAAAGTTTCTATAAACCATATTGTTTAAATGAGATGAAGTTATGATCCCTGGTGTGTTATAGATTTATTTCAAAGTGTCAATTAATAGAGGATTCTATGATCGCTGTAAAAAGTCTATGAATGTAATTTGTATCAGCAATTGGTGCCCGCTGAAACGAGAGTGACAGGCTTTAATTTGTGCCCATTGCTGATATCAGATGTTATGGGTAAATCTGCTAAATAATTTAGCAGTGGGTGAAGGCATTGCCGCTCATTCTGTCTTTAAACACCGTAGAAAGAATTAGACAGACACAATTTTTAAAAGATTATTTAGATACCATGTGTTTCCCTGTAAAAAAATAAATAAATATTCCTACCCAAACTAAAATGATTATTCTTAAAAAAAAAAAAAATAGCATATGATATAAATCTTTCTGGTTTATTGCAAGTAAATGTTAATTCAACATTTAAAAAATATATATCTTTAATAGAAAATAGATCAAATGTTTTTTTTCAAAATATAGGTTTCTCCTTTAAAAAAAGAAATTACAGTAACATTTAATATTTTTTTTTATATCTAAATTAGATTAGATTTGTTTTGACTGAACACTCAAAGAACCTTACTGACTACAACACCACTGTGGTAGTTATAGTACCAGGACTCGTGCCCTCCTTGAGCAAGTAGTCAAACTGGTTGAAAGCAGTCTGACAAATCAGTGGGTTGTAATGTCAATTGCTAAATCTTTAGTATACATTTAAAAGCACATTAACATGGAGACAAAATGTATGAATTCATAATAATAAGACATTGAAACTGAATATTTCATTTATTTACAAAAATGATAGAAAATGTGTACAAAAAGTCTTATTCAATCCTTGCATCAAAATTTACAATAATTTAGCTGTTTAGCAAAAATCAGGTTTCTCTCAAACATAAGGTAATTAGGCAAAGTACTTGCTGGTCACTAAAATGATCTTAAATCTATAATATGTACTGGCCAGGGTTTTTACTCCGTAGCCTGGGACTGATTGGCATCTGAGAAGCTACAGTTTGGGATGTTGTAGAACAAAACAAGGAGCATACATGATTAAAGGGATCTGACATCATTCCAATTGCTTACATTCTAGGCAAAGGCCACCCACATTTACTAATGCACGTCACTGATCTGAGGGGTTTGTTACAATCTCATGACAGCTTACGGAGGAGTTGGCATGAGGAGGGATTAATGGAAGGGGTTTAAACTCTGGTCTCCAACTATTTTGATTTCCAAAACATGACAGGGGATTATGGGAGTTGTAGTCAGACAACTAATAGGGGCTTAAATTTGATCCCCAGCATTAATTTACCCTCTTAATTCCTTTTCTTGGACTAACAAGACATACTAACTTCCACCAAATCATGAAGTACAATTAGGAGCCAGGCCTAATTATGCCAATCAAACCAATATGGCTGCCGAATTGAAGCTTGAAGAGCGATGACTGATCTCTCAGCTATTTATTGCTGGTATTGAATGGTAAATGGATACCTTCCCACTATCCGTGACATAAAACCCCATCTTTTTTAACCCCTTAAGGACACATGACATGTGTGACATGTCATGATTCCCTTTTATTCCAGAAGTTTGGTCCTTAAGGGTTTAAAGGCACAGTGACGTGAATTGCTGTCAGATATAAAACACATATTGGAGAAGTGTTTGCTGTGTATCACCAGATTACACAATGTCAGCCTCCCTGAACTGTAAATTCTGTTTTTGTTTTAACCATAAGTATTTTCACGCACTGATGGTGTGTTTGGGATTTATTCCTCAAGTGGTGAATTATGGAGAACAGACTCTGTTGAATATCTTAGGCTGAAGCCATCCTGGAGGTTTGTTTACAATATAGATAAATCTTGCCAGTGTTTCACAATTCTCTGCTTAGTGAATAATCCCTTTCTGTGGGAGAGCCTTTATTTCCTTTTATTACACATCTCGTGTTTGAGGATAGCAAAGTACAATACATATAAAACAGCTGCTCCCTGCTTTATCTTCTAAAAAGTTTGGCTTAATCATATAGACAAACACCCGCATCCCTTTTCATAAATAATAACTGCAGCCCTGCGGCCGCTCAGCTCTGATGAGGTTTGATTGCAGATGGCATCCGCTCTGGTATCGTTGTTAAAACTTGATTTTGAAAAACGAACACTTTAACTCTTTCAAACACCCAGAGGAAGATAAGGAGGACACTTACATACTGAATCCAGGCAAACTTGATCATTTCCCAGAAGCCTGGCTGATACGTGCCACTGGTTAAGGAAATCTAGAGAGAATGCAGAAAGTTTCACACGTGGCATGGAAATGGCAGGAAATGGAAAGCATTCTGTCTGAACATAGTTGGATATCTGGTACGGCTGAAGAATACTAAACAGCAATAGCCAAAACATTGGCCCGAAGACAACAAGAACATGTGTGCCACACAGATTGGCCATATCCTGCAATCCTAAACTAATGGGGGGAGCGGGGGATAATCACTGAATAGCAAGTGTAGGGAATAAAGCTTACACTATAGAAAAATAATTGCTTCGGCTATATACGAATCCAAGAATCCAAAGATAAATCTTCTTTTGATGGACAGGGCTTTATGGGATAGGAAAGATGGAAAAACTGCCTATTGCAAGCCGTAAGTATTATTATTCCAAAAACATAGATCACCTCCTGCATATTATGCCCATTTTACCGAAGTTTATACAAAGAGAAATATTAGCATTGAATGCAAAAATCTTGCAGAATAATGTTAATGTTTGCCCGCAATTATAGAATATAAAAGCCACCCTAATAAGGGGAATATATTACACATGTACCTAAACTCGGGCAACCTGTATATACTATAACACCATTCTGAATGATCAGTTCAGTTAAAAACCCACAAATATATATAAAATGTAACCATCAGATATGCATCAAACCGGTATTTACATAATGAAACTTTTACATCGGAAAATCGGAGAGAAACCCAGACACTGTAACTGAGCATATCTTAAGAAAATAATACAAATGTTAAATAAAATTGTTTAGATCTTGTGGCCACAATCTATTTAAATTGAAAGTATATTAGCAATCTTTGATATTCCCCTGAAGAAAATATGCACATATGTACACCTGCTGTCTGCATCTTCTGCAAACCCTCCCCTTTATCCCTGGCTCAGTTTGTGCCAGGAAATTCAGCAATCACATGCTTCTCACTGAGACGCCTCTCTGCTGGAGCCACAAGTGTGCGCCTGTTCATGGCTTTCCTATGTTTCTCAATTAACCTGAGTACAGGGCACTCTAGCACAGCGCACCAGCCACTTCCATTTGCAATGTGGAGCTTAATGCGTCTGGATTGCTGCTTTAATACCCATTATCCAATAAGATGTTTTATTTCTTTTTAAGAGACCGTAACATCTAATTTACCATGTACACAGTCAGCTGTAAGATATTCAGTTTCACATGTTTGAAATAAGAAGGAACTGGTAAATCAGGTGTACTTACCACATCTTTACTCTTTGTTCCAAACCAAAACTTACCAAATTTGATAAGGTGGATGGGGCAGTCAGGGACACTAACTGCCTTCCTTTATTTTTAGATGGGCTTCCCAAAACCAGACCAATGTTCCATGTTTGCACAAACATGTATTCAGATCCTTGGTATGTCTGCCAATGCAGAGAAGGCCCAGACTAGCACTTTTGGATGAAATTAGGTATTTTTAAAGTTTAATATTTTCTCTTCTCAGTTTTATATATTGTGCTTCCTGTTCAATAAACACTTGGGGGTTTCTTTAATGTGAAATATAATTTTAGCATTTGCTTTAATGATTGTTGTATAACCTCAGGCTTCATCACAATTAGATTTCCTTTTTCCTTTTCCGAATTCCTATCTGTTACTTCAAATTCAATAATGAGTTTTGGTTTTTAAAAGTCTGGTATTAAGAAAATCACGACTTTCATATCCCCTTTCAAACTCCTGTGGGATATGTTGCAATCAGAGGGCCTTTCCCTGAGCTCCAAACTCACCACTATATACTGAACAAATACTTGTGTGATCCATGTTGGAGGTACATGGTGATAGGAGGAAAGACGTCATATGCTAAAACATCTCATCAGACTCACAAGGAGTCTGAGATTAGAGGATTGATTTTATTGATCCAAGAAAACTACACAATTGACTATGAACTCGTTACTGACTTGTTAAATCAACAGAGAGTAACTGACTTTTGCATTGCTCACTCTGAAAGGTGAATGTCCTTTGGCCATGTATGTGCATGTGGAAATCGGTAAAGTGGACTTACCAGCCAGTCACTATGAATGCCATTTGGTAAATCGAGCAGCCTCTGTCACACGATGATTAGCCCTGGAGCTGTGATTGCAAACTCTGGCTCCTGATGTCAATGCAATATGATTTGACAAAGCCTTTATGCAGAGTGCTACAATATAAGCATGTGGTTCTCTCGCAGTTATCCACAACATCCAGTGGCAGTGTGAGCCTTGGATACAGTAAGGCACCTAGTCCCAAGTATGCTCACTGTTAGACATATATTGTATGTCAGGCACTCATACCTTAATTAGAGGAAACTAGACCCTGTACAATAAAACATGTTGTCCCACCTGGTTGAACAAATGTACAACTTATAAAGATTACATAAAGGATATGAAATTGTTTCCACTGGATATCGGATAGTCACATTTATAACAAATGGCTCGGCATCGGCTCTTCCAACTAGCCACACCTGGCTGGGGTTGTTCAAGACAGTAGTCACTGCAAAATGATAACATTTTGTTTTAGATGTAAAGGTAAAATAAAAACTTAATTCAACAACTCCTAATTAGTAGTTATTTTATAAAGCCATGCTAAAATTTCCTTACGGTTTCTCTGCTGGTAAGCTGCGATTATATTTGTGAGCTGATATGCATTTGCAAAGGGGCTTGATCCATTGATGACAGATACCTGCCAAAAAACATCAACAATGGGATACTGTAAAAATCAAAGTACCACAGTCATTTAGGTTGGCAAAACAGTGGCATAAAATTAATGTTTAAACCTTTAAATTTCCTATCAAGCGGAAAAGGAGAACAGTCTCCCTCCCAACCATTTCTGGACTCCAGATGGTAGTCTGCACACTTTCTGAACCATCAGATCTACATGTGTTTAAAGGGAAGGCAAACACTGCATTTTGTGAGGTTTTGCCGTTATATCTCCTGCCTTAATATGAAGAAGAAACATCTTGTTATTTGAAGCTATTGACACACGCTCTTTAGGCAGAGAAGCCAAGTGGAAGGCTACCTCCTGGCACCTTGGAGATTGATGGCCTTACTGATTGGTTTCTTTAGATCCACTGTGAATAGATCTATTAGTGAGACGAGCCCTTTTAGTAATAATCCCAGCTTTGTTAGCATTCCTTCATAAGTGACGTTTGTTTGTTGGTGTTTATGTCCCTAGTAAAGCCCATCATGCCAGCTTTCACCTTCTGTAAATAAATTGTCTGTATACTGGATTTTTAGAAAATGAGCCTGGCATTATTTTGCCTTCCCTTTTACTACAATAAAAGTGAGAAGAAAACCCTACATTGTATGTTGTGTCCAGTCCCTGGTGTTCGAGAGGTCCTCTCTGCTGGAGTCTCAGGTCACCATTGATATACAGCTCAGCTCCAGGAATCGGTGATGCGTGTTGGATGAATATCATGCTCTGCATTATAATGGTGGACATGCGCTGGAAGACATAAGTTCTCCATCAATCTCATTTGTGTTTGAAATGCCAGAATGTAATTACATAACTTTGTGGGAAAAGATCAGATGTGCACTTTTAAATATTGATTTCAGATTTCGTCAGAAAATGGAAACAGATACGCGTTCAGAAACTCTAGAAGCACAGTTAATTCCACCACATACTTTTCTTTTGCCCCACCTTGAAGAATGATCCCAGACCTGCATTTAGGGCCAGCCACAGACCTAAGCCATTCAAGCATCAAGCTCTTTTAGAGCCAATATAACAATCTTAAAATAAGTCATCTTACTGCTTCTATTAGCTTGCATAGAAGCTTTGTTTGTGTATTTTGTTTGCATTAATCTACTTGAGGAAACTGGAAGTACACAATCCATGAACCCCAGCTATACAATCAATGGGACAGTTGAAAATATTCTGCCTCTTCCTCGTTCCTAGTGAACAAACAAAGGATATTTAGAGCAGAGGTGTTTTTCTTTTCAATGTTTAATTTTTTTGAATGGATTGCCTCTGTAATACATTACAAAGGGGAAGGAGAGTCCAGTCTGGAAGGTGTTATTTGGAATGTATGGCAGCAAAGCTATGATACTATAGGCAGGCTTACAGCATTACAGGAGATGCAATCTCCTCATCAACACAGTAAAGGAGGAGACTATATTTAAAAGAAGAAAAACTACCACAACAAGAGGACATAGTCTTAAATTAATACATAAAGGGAATCACTACAGGAAAGGAGGAGACTATTTTTAAAAGAAGAAAAACTACAACAAGAGGACATAGTCTTAAATTGGAGGGACAAAGGTTTAAAAATATCAGTAAGTATTACTTTACTGAGAGGGTAGTGGATGCATGGAATAGCCTTCCAGCTGAAGTGGTAGAGGTTAACACAGTAAAGAAGTTTAAGCATGCGTGGGATAGGCATAAGGCTATCCTAACTATAAGATAAGGCCAGGGACTATTGAAAGTATTTAGAAAATTGGGCAGACTAGATGGGCCGAACGGTTCTTATCTGCCGTCACATTCTATGTTTCTATGTAATCAACATGGGACTTTCTCTTTGTCACAGTGACGCCCACACAAGATGCTAGATTCTGTAAGGTCACCTCTGAGAACAGGTAGGCAGGATGTTTGTACCTGCAGTGCTGTAACAAAGGGACAATACTACCTTACCTTCATACAAATGTGCGTTAACCTGTGAGGCTTGTTGCCTCTGTAGATGGATCTATGTACTGCTCTCACCTGTGAAGCCCACTGAATCCGTTAAATGCTGTTGAATGTGAATTACTGGAGTGCAGAGGTCAATGTAAATGTCTGCCCCTGAATACTTACATAGAGCTGATATGAGAAGGTTAGCATAAGCTGCACACTGTAGACATTCTCTGTGGACTGAAGTGGAAGCTCTAATTTGAAGAATAACTGGTCCATCTTCCCATCACTGTTCTGGTCTTCTTCTCTAGCCTGCAATTAGCACAATATATATATATGTATATAGAATGAGACTGCAATACAAATACACATTCCAAGATATAAAGTGAAGGCTGCAGAGGCCATTGGGCAGTGGGGGCTAGAGGATGTATATATTGAAATACCCTTATTTTCTGTCACCAGTAAAGGCATTTTGAAAACTGTCAAGCTACATTTTAGTTGGTGATACATTATTGCAAGGATACAGTGAAAAGTGCCTTTCCAGTTATATTGCAGCTACTATACTATACCGTATACTAGCGTCTGGTTTTATATGTTAGTAAGTGTTCTAGAAATGGCAAGCAGGAGATGGTGGGAGCCCTAGAGAAAGTGATTCATCTTGAGTAACAGTGGACATTACCGATACTTGAGGCATTCTAAGCCGGTCACCGACCAAGCTGTTAAACTGTGGGAAAGTACTCCATGCCACGAAATCCCCATTAGTACTGCTGGAAGCAATCAATAAGATCTCATAGCGGAAACGAACATTGGGCTGTTCTTGATATGTACTTTGCTTTAACCAAAAACCTTAAAAGAAATAATAATAGGTTAGTACAATATATTGCCATTAACTGTCTTTCTGCATTTTCAAGAAGAGGGTGGAATCTCACCTTGGCTCCTGTAGGCAACCAATAATGGTGGGATGTAGGTTAAAGCCAGTACAATCAGAAGGAATAGGGTGGCTGCGGAGCAAACCTTGGCTCTGTATCTTAGAAGGGCAGGGTGTGAGTAAACCTCGTAGATCGTCATAGCGAGGCCTTTAACTGCGCTGAACCGTGACGTTCCTAAACAAATCCATTGGAAACAAATGGAGCAGGTGTCAAGGCTTGACAGAAAACATCAAATTTTCTTTGAGTGGGGAAAATGGTAGGATTAGTATTTCGCAGGAGGAATTTCAGGCATTTGGGGTCCTGAATGTGTTCATTGTGTGCTAGGTGTGTACTATTTGTCACAGGCTCTCAGAATGTGATGCTATCTGTGCCACCTCGGTCTGTATAATATACATGGCTCTATCAATCCTGGATCTCTCATTTGTCTCACTCCCTGGGCCAATGCTTGAGACTCTTTCTTTCTCAGCTTTCATTATATATCTTCTACCACCTCTGACCCTATTTCAAAGTGTTCCCTCTAAATATCCCCATACCCCCCACTGTTTATCTGCCCATACTCTATAATCTTCCTATGTTTATTTCCCTTTTTTTTTACACCTCTTCACCTTGTCTCTGGTACCCCTCTGTGTATCCCCGGTAACCCCTCTTTGTATTCACAGTACCCTTCTGTGTATCCACGGTACCCCCACCCTCTCTGAATCTCCGGAACCCCCACCCCCTCTCTGTATCCCCAGTACCCCACCCCTCTCTGTATCCCCAGTACCCCCCCACCCCCTCTGTATCCCCAGTACCCCCACACCCCCCTCTCTCTCTCCCTGTATCCCCAGTACCCCCACCCCCTCTTCTGTATCCCCAGTACCCCCACCCTCTGTATCCCCTAGTACCCCCCACCCCCTCTGTATCCCTCCCCAGTACCCCCCCACCCCCTCTGTATCCCCCAGTACCCCCACCCCCCTCTCTCTGTATCCCCAGTACCCCCACCCCCTCTGTATCCCCCAAGGCAGTACCCCCATCACCCCCCTGTATCCCTCCCAGTACCCCCACCCCCCTCTGTATCCCCAGTACCCCCACCCCCCACTCTCTCTCTCTGTATCCCCAGTACCCCCACCCCCACTCTCTGTATCTCCAGTACCCCCACCCACCCCCTCTTTCTGTATCCCCGGTACCCCCACCACCCTCTCTGTGTGTATCCCCGCTACCCCTCACCTCGCCTCCCTCTGTATCCCCCAGTAACCCCCTGTAACCCCCTCTCCTCACATCGGTCTGTTGTCGAGCAGTTTGATAACTCGCCTCTATTGAGCTGAAATTTGAAAAGGGTTAATGCAGAAAACTCGGTCGCCATGGCAACGACGCCATGACCCGGAAATAACCCGAGGATCACTCCGGTACAGACATACAGCTCCCAAAACCCGCCCCAGCACTGCATGGCTAACATAATATATAACATGGGTTAATATAATATAACATGGGATAATATAATATAATATGGGTTCATATAATATAACATGGGATAATATAATATAACATGGGTTAATATAATATAACATGGGATAATATAATATAACATGGGTTCATATAATATAACATGGGTTAATATAATATAATATGGGATAATATAATATAATATAACATGGGATAATATAATATAACATGGGTTAATATAATATAACATGGGATAATATATAACATGGGTTAATATAATATAACATGGGTTAATATAATATAACATGGGATAATATAACATGGGTTAATATAATATAACATGGGATAATATAACATGGGATAATATAATATAACATGGGTTAATATAATATAACATAACATGGGATAATATTATATAACATGGGTTAATATAATATAACATGGGATAATATAATATAACATGGGATAATATAATATAACATGGGTTAATATAATATAACATGGGATAATATAATATAACATGGGATAATATAATATAACATGGGATAATATAATATAACATGGGTTAATATAATATAACATGGGATAATATTATATAACATGGGTTAATATAATATAACATGGGATAATATAACATGGGATAATATAATATAACATAACATGGGTTAATATAATATAATATAACATGGGTTAATATAATATAACATGGGATAATATTATATAACATGGGTTAATATAATATAACATGGGATAATATAACATGGGATAATATAATATAACATAACATGGGTTAATATAATATAATATAACATGGGTTAATATAATATAACATGGGATAATATTATATAACATGGGTTAATATAATATAACATGGGATAATATAACATGGGATAATATAATATAACATAACATGGGTTAATATAATATAATATAACATGGGTTAATATAATATAACATGGGATAATATTATATAACATGGGTTAATATAATATAACATGGGATAATATAACATGGGATAATATAACATAACATGGGTTAATATAATATAATATAACATGGGTTAATATAATATAACATGGGATAATATAATATAAAATGGGATAATATATAACATGGGTTAATATAATATAACATGGGTTAATATAATATAATATAACAGGGGTTAATATAATATAACATGGGTTAATATAATACAATATAACATGGTATAATATATAACATGGGTTAATATAATATAACATGGGATAATATAACATGGGTTAATATAATATAACATGGGATAATATAATATAACATGGGATAATATAATATAACATGGGATAATATAACATAACATGGGATAATATTATATAACATGGGATAATATAATATAACATGGGTTAATATAATATAACATGGGATAATATAACATGGGATAATATAATATAACATGGGTTAATATAATATAACATGGGATAATATAATATAACATGGGATAATATATAACATGGGTTAATATAATATAACATGGGATAATATAATATAACATGGGATAATATAATATAATATGGGATAATATAATATAATATAACATGGGATAATTTAATATAACATGGGATAATATAATATAACATGGGTTAATATAATATAATATAACATGGGTTAATATAATATAACATGGGATAATATAATATATAACATGGGTTAATATAATATAATATAACAAGGTAAAAAGAAAAAAAGGGGAACGGCTATTATCATTTCAAATCGACTTAGTTTTGAAGTTATTCATTCAATAACTGATAAAAATGGTAGATATCAGGTTTTAATTATAAAAATCAATGGTCTCACATTCACCTTTGTAAATATATATGCCCCGAATCACAATCCGTCAGCTCTGTTAGATCAAATTATGGATATTGTAGATGAAGTTGCCTGTGGTAGTATTATAATAGGAGGAGATTTTAATAGTGTTGTTGACCTAACTAAAGATAGAAGTCATAAATATTCTGAGAATGGTAACCTTTGTAATATAGGATTATTTGGTTTATCTGATTTTTTAGCTAAAAATTCCAGGTTTGACTGTTGGCGAACTATGAATCCTCAGGAAAGAGATTATACATTTTTTTTGCACGTACATCAAACTTATTCTCGTATTGATATGTTCTTTGTGAAAGAGAGTGTTTTAAACAATATTATAAAATCTACAATTGGTTCTATAGAAATTTCGGATCATGCTCCAGTTTCTTTGAGAATTAGGATAAAAGAAGGTAGTATTCCAAGGACTAAATGGAGGCTTAATGAAAGCCTTTTGAAACTTGATTATATCAAGGACCAAATAAAAATAGAACTAGAAAACTTCTTAAAAACTAATTATAACGGAGAAGTTGCAACACCAATTGTATGGTGTACCCTAAAAAGCTTTATAAGAGGACTATTAATAAAGTTCGGTTCTGAAAATAAACGGAAGAAAGGCAAATCATTACATGTCCTGAGGATTAAATTAGCGAAAATGGAACGGCTAAATAAAATATCAATAACTAAGGAATTAACAAAGGAAATTAATAATATAAAGCTAGTTATTAAGGATAAAATATATGTAGAGATTGGTAAAAATCTATCCTTCCTTAAACAAAGATGGTATCATAATAATAATAAAATTAATAGGGATCTCTCTAACAAAATTAAGAACCAACATAAAGATAAACCTATAAAAAAATTGATGACAAAAGGAGGAAAGGTTGTAAATTTACCTAAAGATATAGCAGAGGCTTTTGCAGCATTTTATAGCTCGTTATATAATTTAGAGGAGGTCAAGGTAAGTAATGGTGAAATTGATAGATTTCTCAAGGATCTTAGACTTCCTAGGTTAAGCTTAGAGAAACTAGAATATATAAATGCTCCTTTTAGAGAATTGGAAATTGAAGAAGCGATAGAGAAATTAAAACCGAATAAGGCCCCAGGCCCGGATGGATTCTCTGCTATCTTTTATAAAACATATATGAAAACAATTACTCCAATCCTCTTAGAGATGTATTCGTTAATATCTAGTGATGTTTCATTCCCAAAAGAGATGATGTTAGCAACAATTATTCCGATTCCTAAGCCAGATAAGGATAATTCAATAATTGCTAACTATAGACCAATATCACTAATAAATGTTGATATTAAAATATTCTCGGCTATATTGGCTAACCGTTTAAAAGAAGTATTGGGAGATTTGATTAATTGGGACCAGTCAGGATTTGTGAAAGGAAGAAGTACCTCTGATAATACAAGGAGGATTTTTAATATAATAAATAGAGTGAGCGGACAACAAAGGGAAGCTGTTATTATTGCTTTAGATGCCGAGAAGGCCTTTGACAGAGTCAATTGGAGATTCCTGGACTCTGTCATGGGCCATTTCGGACTGGAGGGAGCATTTAGAAATAAAACTTTATCTTTATATAGAAATTCCTCGGCAAGAATTAGCAGCCCATATTTTGACTCTGATCCCTTCGATATTAAGAATGGAACTAGGCAGGGCTGCCCGTTAGCTCCACTCCTATATATTCTTACAATCGAACCGTTGGCTACGATGATAAGACAGAATGAAAAGATAAAAGGAATAGACTTTCAAGAGGAATATATTAAAATATCTTTGTTTGCAGATGATGTCCTACTTACTCTTGTTGACCCCTTATTATCAATTCCACCGCTGCTAGAAGATATCTCTATATATAGTAAATTTTCTAACTATAAGGTTAATATTAATAAATCTCAAGTGCTTCCATTCCTATTGTCCAAGATACAGCTAGAAATTTTGTATTCTTATTTTCATACAGAATGTATAAAAGATAAAATTGACTATTTAGGTATAAAGATAACATTTAATATTATAAAGACAATTCGGATAAATTTTGACAATTTATATAAAGATCTACAATCCCAGATACATAAATTGAAGAGATTAGAACCATCTTGGATAGGAAGAGTTAATATTACCAAATCGTATTTAATGCCAAAACTCCTATATTTTTTTAGGATGATTCCATATAATATTGAACGGGGCACTTTGAAGCGCTTCCAAAATTTATTTTCTAGCTATATATGGCGTGATAAACCACCCAGAATAGCGACATAGATTCTATGTAGAAGTTACCGGAAAGGGGGTATAGCATTTCCCGATGTGATTAAGATGTATGAGGCAAACAGGGCTTCTCAACTTATGACATGGTTAAATTTGGATCAAAATATATCTAAATCTTGGATTAAAATTGAACAGAAATCAGAACCAGGGCAAAAGTTATACATCTTAGGGTGGCTAGGACTCCTGAATCTGGGGGCTTTGGACATGGAACAATTTTCTAATAAAATTATAGGAGATATGGTGGATTTTGCAAAATATTTGAATACTAAGTTGAAACTTAAAGGAAAATTATTATTTAATACACCCATAGAAATACTTCAATATGCTATGTCAGATATAAATATCAAAACTTGGATACATTTTGGCATAAAAAAATTGGAAATCTATATGAGGGATCTAAACTGGCAACATTTACACAACTACAATCTAAATATAAATTTTTATCTAGGGAAATAGTCCAATACTTAAGGATCAAGAATTTCCTTTTAACTAAAATACTGATTAAAGATCATTATCTTGAACCTTATATTACTTGTAGCCAAAAAAAGGGAGGAATCTCTAGATTTAATAAATTGTTTGATACACTAGATAATGTTATCGATGTGCCTCCATTTGGTAAATGGGAGAGGGATATGGGGAAATCCCTCCCACTTATAGATTGGACAAATGCTACAATGTTAGTAAAACAAAGTATACATAACATATCCTTACTCGAAACGCACTTAAAGATCATCTACAGGTGGTATATGGTCCCGGTTAG